CTGTTTTAGAGATATCGAGCTAATTGTGCAAAAAATAGCAGTTTTTGAAAGAACTAAGCATCCGATTTGAATGATTCAAAGAACTTTGTGCTTGTGTTGACGAATCGATTGTTTTGGAAAAAGAAATTTTTGTATAAATTTCCGAAAAATATTTTTTTTTACTAAATTTTATTTTTCGAATATTTCATTATGGTACGGAAAGTTCCAGCAATTTGCTTTAAGGCAATACACCACTAGTTGTTGCAGTCTATATGTAATTTGTGCGAATAGTATAGAATGAAATGAATCTTTAAAAAATATTTATTCATATTATTTGCTATTATTTTTTAAGAATAGAGTTATTTTAAAAGCTTTGATTGTTAATTTATGGCTGAACTCATTTTTTTTTCTAAAGTACGGTCGTTTGTAAAAATTTCAATAAAAATCATTAAACTATGTAAGTATGTTTTATTTATTAGCAAAATATTTAACATTTTAACAATTTTAGATATCATTTTAATGGTGTATAGTATTTAATGCAATCTGATAGAGAAACTGTACGGGCTCATAAACAAATATTCGAAAACCAAAGAAGAAAAGATATAAGTGGTATTTTGTGTTTTGAACTTTCGAACATGTGCAAATAATAGAAATCAATAAATCATTATACTAATTCGTGAAATGAGTGTACAAAATTACTGTAGAACCAAACATCTTACTTTCGTCTAATAAATTCGAAGTATCGAAGTTATAAATTGCATAACCAGAAAGTCTTGAAATGTAAAGATATCAGTAAAATTTCCAAGACCTGCCTCCTTATGAAGTTAAAAACAACGAAATCTTCCAGTTTATCTAAGAGTTTACTTCTAAAAATTACCAAAACCACTCTAATATCGTCCACAAAAACGCTCTTTACTTTAGCATTAAAAAAACGTGAAAACTTTTCCAAAAATCTACTACTCACAATAGAAGAAGACATTGTATCTATCAGTTTTGAAGATACTCTAAACAAATACGACGGCATTTTTCTAAACTTTGACAAACCTTTATAATTAAAGCATTAATAATAAAAATGACAAAATCAGTTCAGATTTTTTTAAGAAAATTTTGCCAACATTGTGCTGCAAAACCTAATTATAAACAAAGAGTTTGACCCATCGTCGCAAAAAACAACAGAAGTCCTTATAATTTTACTGAATGGGTTTTAAAGTTTTGCAATCGGTTCAGCTGTTTTTGAGATCAAAAATCGGCTCATACACAGAAACACATTTTTTACAAATTTCGTGTCTCAAGAAGGAGAACATATTTTATATCATATCATCATTCATTATATCTTTGAACCTAATTATTTTTTTTAAAAAAAAACTTATGTAGTCTAACTACCGTCATTAGTCAATATGACTACTAATAGGAAAAAATTTGCTATGATATCCACAACATGGGCACCATTTATTGAAAATTCACAAAACCTGGTGCATAAGTGCAGTGGTTTCTGTCAAAGACCAGGTGTAGATTTAAACAATAAATGCAAAAAACAAACAAATTTTAAATAAAATTCTCGTTGACATGTGTTGTCAATTGGATGTTTCACTATTCCTACTTGGGAAAGGACGAAAAATATTGCTCAATTCCACTTAGTGAAATAAAGTTGATGGATTCTTTCATAGGATGCGGAAGGAATATAACTACAGATAATTAACCAAGAAATTACTTACTACAATTGTCAGAACTGTTGCTAGAACAATAATTTAGTATAAAGCAGTTTTTCTTTTTCAAAGAGCAAATTTTTATTTTTACTTATTACTTACTTATTATAAGTTATTAAAAAAGGGGTATAAAAGATTAAGTATTATTTCTTACTGCATGTTAATTAATTACTACATGTTAATTACAAAACCGTTTGTACAATAACACTTTTTTATAGAAAATCTGTTCTGTTCTGTTGTGTTTACACGATATCGTATATATAATAATTCTACATGACAATTATGTATTAATCGATGGCATTTAATTTAATACAATAATAATACTAATGATTCACTTTAATTAATGCAACAGCAATGACTAAGCAAACCGGTCGACTCGTGCTAACGCAATCGTTTTACCTTACCTTACCTTACACTTCAAGGTGGGCTTAAGAACAACAGATTTCGAAAATATATAATTTATATATATATATATATATATATATATATATATAATATAATTTATATTGTGTAAACTAGGAAGGATAAGTATATATTTTTTGCTCAAGACTATGCCCATATATATTACAATGGTGAAGTAAGTGCAAGCAATCTGAAGACAGTGAAGAAAGTATGCCACGACATGGTAGGGTATTATAAAAATATATTTATTATAAAATAGTAAGATAAAAAAAATTACTAAAAATAAATTCTATAGTAAAAAATACTGTTAAAAAAATTGAAGCAGAGTATTTTGAATTTTAATATAAATTTAGTTCAATATGAGGGCCACCGGTGGCAATATCGGTTCGAACGTGGGCTAGCACCAACTAGTCCCGGGTTCGACGGTTCGATTCCCGACAAATCGCGACATCAGGCAACTTTGATGTCAAATTTCCACTTGAGGTTATAGATCTCAAATATAGTCTCAAGTGAAAATCGCCTCTCGTGGGTATAGTTGCATATATATATATATATATATATATATATATATATAACAAAAAAATGTCAACAAATACTTCGAGTATAGTTAATTAGTCATAATTGGATTGGACAACTAATGGGTTGCCATTCATTCAAAAATCCATATGATAGAATCAGAACAATTACTGAATGTCCCAAGTGTGACAGATTGTAATTAAAAAAGGTAAAAAAATATACATATAGTTCAATACCATTTTAACATGGTTCTTAGTGGAAGTCGTTCATATCACTCACTCACCACCTATCCCTCACATCCCAGAAAACAGATAAAAAAATATCCAGCATATTGAAAGTATAAGAAAGCAGTTTTCGAAAAGATGGCATGAGTAATATCTAGGAAAACTACAGTTTCATTCAAGAACGACCGGTGCAACAAAAATTAGAGGACCTTATCTCGTATTTTTAAAAATTTTATGAACTATTTTTTGCACTTTTTGCTCCGTATTTCCAAAACGTCTGAACACACCTTTCCCAAAAACTAATCAGCACATCTCCTCGTCAATTTTTGTATCATTTAAATCGATTGATCCGTACTCTCTAAATTAGAGCAGAAATAGAATAGAACAGAAATTGTATCCAAACATACATAGTACATACACAAATGTTCAGTAGGTATTGAAACGTAAATATAATAAAAAAAAAAACTATTTTATTAATAAAATAAGCCCACTACCTTCAAATATAGGATTATAGTAACTATTGAATAATTTATTATGCGTAAATAAGCATTAGAAAAGTAACTTTTTAACGTGGCCGAGGCACCTTGAAAATTTGAATTTAAGACTAAAACACGTTGGCTGCGAAAATAAATCATGCATGTAAGTTTATAATGAAACTAGTGGGGTGCACGGCATCGTGCCTTAAGGAAAATTGCTGGAACTTTCCGTACCGTACCGTAAAAATCTTGCTACGGAACCCAAAAAAAATTACACAAAATGTGTACACATAATTAAAATCTCTATAAAATATCTGATAATTTGATGTACAGATGTCCAAAAAACATTTTTGACCGCCAAATGATATTTTTTTTTGACTTATTTCTATTGAGAGTCCATAACCGCTAGACCTGCCTTCCCAAAAACTTAATCAGTTCTTCGTCTTGTCAATACAAGTTAAATTTTTTTTGAATTATTAAAATCGGACGCCCCCTTCTCTTAAAAACTGAGTTACCGTTTTTGGCATACTTTGTCCCGTATCTTCGGAACGGCTGGACCTGCCTTCGCCAAAAACTAATCTCGTTATCAATAAATCCAATGTTTTTTGAATTATTCAAATCGGTTGATCGGTGTTCTCGAAATCGTCGACGAAATTTGCATCCGCACACACACACATCCATTTTTTCTAAGGTATGCTAAAATATTCAGAAATCGAGAAACCTTTAAAATGTAAAGATATATAATTTTTTTTATTTTTTTGCTATTATAACTCACTATATCTTACCCTACGGGAAGTTAATATAAACTCAAATTTGAAATTCATTTCATAATTCCCAACAAACATACATAACAATAATAACAAGCAAAAGTGCACCTAATAGTCTGCAATTTAAATTTCTACTTTGCTTGATGCATCAAATACCCTGTGTTCTCAAACAAAACAGTTTGAATCATTACTTCATAAAAATTAATTCACAATCAAAATTCTATTATTGTATGCAAATGAAGTACTTTATATAATTTTCTTATAACTGGTTTGTATGTTCATTTTTCTATACTTTTCATTTGCAATGACGATGACATAAAATAATAAGTCAAAATGTCTCAGAACATAAACATGTACCAAAATCCTATTAATTTTATATTCAATGTTATGTTTCAAGATTTCATTCATATATTTTTATTTCATAAGGAAACTGATATTTAATAGAAAGAAATTAAATATAAAAAAAAAATTAATAATGCAAAATTGAATATAGCCCTAATATCCAACCTTCTAGTTCAAACCCCTAATAGGCAATTGTGTTTTTAATAATCGAATTTTTGTGAATATATCTCAAAATTATAATTTCGGTTGCTTATGGCAAGGTAAACAATTCCTACAAAAAAGGATTTATTTCAAATATTCAAAGAAAAGTATCGAAACGTCTTATTCCTGCTGTTAACAAAAAGATTGTTCAAAAATCCAGTAGTTTTTCTGAATTTAAACTAATTTTGATAACTATACCAGCACATATATATATATATATATATATATATATACACACACATATATATATATATATCAAATATGTATGAAAACCCATATACAAGATAAATATAATAGATTATAGATAGACTGATTAATGAAAGAGAATATAGGAAAAGCCAGTAAATTAAAAGAACAGAATTATAAATTCATATTTATCTTTTCATTTATATCAATAACAAAATAAGGGACTATACACAAGACAGAAAAGAATCAGAGATGATATCGAATTTTGCTCACGGATTAGTGACGCTTTTTGCCCTTTTTTCCTCCAAATTTCTTCCCACTGCCTCCAAAACCTTTGAAATTTTGCCTACGCTTCTCTTCCCATTTCAATTGTTTGTCTGATGATTTATCTTTATTCAAAACTGCAGATGATGTACCCAACTTTTGTTTGGATGCACCTGAAGAGAAAAATCAAGGTAAAAATAATTAAAAATTTAAATACATAATAGTCAGCTCTACATAACTGATAATACAGTAATAATGATATAATTTAAATAATTCTTATATTTATAATCATTGATCGTTTCATATAATATAAATAATAATAGTTTCATCTAATAAAAAAAATCGATAAAATAAATAAAATCATTATTAGTATATTTAAATATCCATATTTATTCTAAGAGTGATTTCATGTACTATATTCCTAAAAAACTTTAATGAATTCAATTTTAAAATACAAATAAGGCAAGACACAAAAGGCTCCAAACTCAAATGTTATAATAAAATTTAAAGTAAAAACTTCGCAAAGATATATATTATAAAATCTTGAGAGAATTTAATTTAGATTAATATGAATAAAATCTAAATTCGAATTAATATATACATACCAGCTTCATCAAGTAAATGGGCAAAGTCATCAGCATTCGCAAACAACGACGCAATATCTGTAAAAAAAAGATTCATGTTAGAATAATATATTTAAAATATGATAGAATATCAATAACAACATATTCAATATTAAAATATAAATAAATTGTATCTCACCTTCTTTACCATTCTTTTTCTTGCCACCTTTTTTCTTCTTTGTTGGAGGTTCATCATCAGAGAATTCTAAATCGGACAAATCGTCATCATCACCTAAATCGTTGAGCAAATCTGTAAAAATAGACATTAACATTAGAGCAAAAACAAATACATAGTATGATATAATCTTAAATATATTATTACTACTTATAATGATATATCCGTTGTAATTGTAAATCGGTGCAGCCGCTTTTGAGAAAAAGTAAACGTAAGGTCAAAAATTGACTTTCAACACACTCCTCTCTTCCAATTTTGTCTCAAAGATGCAGAATAAATTGAAACGTCGAGAAAAAAAGCAAGTCGGATTTTCTGGAGAAAACAAATTCCTTCCTCCAATTATAAAATAGAATTTTGTTTTATTTACAAATATCTTTAAATTTGCAACATTTTATACCTCAAATTTATGTTATTCATACTTTATAGTAAAATAAATAAAATGGGGTGAATATTATAAAAACTAGTTGGTATTGGTATTTTGCCTTGAGGCAAGTTACATGAACTTCCCGATATGTGTAAATAATCGACTTAATCAATAAAAAATAAATTAATTTATGAGTGATTAAAAGTACTACGAGTGGATTTATTACACATAATTAAAAACGAACGAACACGTCATCTTGGAGTATTTACTAAAAGCAAATTTTCACAAATCAATAATTTTTATAATTGATCCAGTTTCCGTAGAGCTTTAATGGTTCAGTATGTTCATTAAGACCAAGCACTCTATCGTTATACCAAGTAAATCGTCTGATTTTAATTTTAACAAGCTTCAAAAAAACTACTCATTTCCTTAAACTTTGATGCATTTTTAAAATTAAACTACTTGTCGTAAGACCGTAATATTTCAGTAAGTTCTATAAGACCAAGACATATATCGCCAAAAAAAGTTTCATAAAAATAGGCTTAATTTTTTTTTTCAACAGTTAATTACTAAAATAAGGCTCAGTAGATTTTCACCTAAAACTAATCAGTATCATCCCCAACCAATATCTTTCGAACAGTTTCTGATTTTTATAAATCGATTCGGTAGTATGAGCTTAAATGTGGACGAAAAGTTTAACATTTTTTTTCAAATTACAAAGAAACGGCTCGGCCGATCCTCGCACTAAAACTGAGTAACGATAGTCCTCACCGAAATACATCAAATGCCTTTTAAATTTCTGAAATTGGTTCAGGCGTTTTTGAGAAAACGCCGATCAAAGGTCTAATTTTGACAAATGCTAAAAAACGATACTAATTTTTGCAAACTTTGACGAATTTTCAAAGCTAAACGAGTTGTCGTAGGGCCGTAATATTTTAGTATGATCTATAAGACTACGGTATCTACCGTCAAAGAAAGAATAAAAATCGTTGAAAAAAAATTTTCAACACTTTATTACAAGAAAAAGATCTCTACCAAAAACTAATCAGCACGATTCTCAACCAATATATTTTGAACGGTTTTTGAATTTTTAAAATCGATTCAGAATAGCGGGCTAAAACGTGGACAAAAATTTTTCACTTTTCTGCTATTTGCAAAGAAACTGCTTAGCTGATCGTCGTGCAAAATTGACAAACGCTAGTCCTTATTGAGATACATCAAATGGCTTTTAAATTTTTGAAATCGATCTAGCCGTTTTTGAGAAAACGTCGATTTACAACAAAAATCTGTTCACATACACACACACATACTTTTTCCAAATTTGATCTCATTCAATTCAGAATGGCTTGAAACGTCGAGAAAACATAAAATTAGCGAATCGGTTTTTTTGATGAAAACATAAACTTCTCCTTCAGGAAGTTAATAATTTATAAATATGGTTTTACCTTCGTCATCGCTGCCCAAGTCTGAGAAATTATCATTTCCGCCAAGAGTTTCATCGCCCGCACTTTGTTCCATTTCTTCATCATCATCCTCATCAAATTCTTCAAGATCGTCATCGTTATCATCGAAACCATCATTATCTTCATCGTTATTTTCATCTTGATCTCCAGCCAGGTCATCATCATCATCACCATCATCAGAGTCAGATTCGCCTTGTTTGCCTTTGTTCTTAGGATTTCTTAAATTGCTGCCTAGTTCTTCCATGTAATTTAGGTCGTCTTTATCTGAAAGGGAAATAAAAAAATATATCTATAATATGAAAATGAATCGCAAAATGTGTTGGTAAGCGCATAACTCAACAACGCCTGGACCGATTTGGCCAATTCTTTTTTTAAAATGTTCGTTGAAGTCCAAGGATGGTTCTTACGGCGAGAAAAATCGAATAATTGCCGGGAAAACCCTAAAAACAGCCCTTTTCTTTTTCACATACAAACGTTTTCTAACTAAAACGTAGAATCAATTTGAGCTTTAATTTTTTTATAATGCGTGAATAAATAAGGTGAATTAGAGAATTTATAAAGGTAAACTGGTGGACAGGTAAATTGGAGGATATGTAAAATGGTAGAGAGGAGAACTAGTAGATAAACAAATTTGTAGACAACCAGGTTGACAGGTTAATTGGTAGACATGACAGGTGAATTGGAAAGCAGGTAAATAGGTTGACAGGTAAATTGGTAAGCCGGTAAAATGGTAGATTGATTAACAAGTTGATAGGTAAATTCGTAGACAAATTGTTCAATAGGTAAATTGTTCAACAGATACTAGCAACGTTAAACTAAATGTCACAAATACACATCTTTGTTCAACTTTTTAATTTAAACTAAATCACAGCAAAGTGTGAACGGGTACAGCTAGTTAATAATAAATTCCAATATTAATTTAAAATAATGCTTTTGTTTTGTTCCCTTTATCTTTATAAATGTTTGTCAAATTAAATTACCTGCTCCAGCAATCTTGTCCAGATAATCATCAAACTCATCATCATCAACAGATTCATCATCAGACTCTGACTCGTCATCTCTGAAGCCTCTGGTTGCATTCTTCATTTCTCTTTGCTTTTCTAAATATCTATAATAAAAAAAAATACAAAATCAAAACACATTGATTAGATTTACCTTGTGAACTAACATTGATTGGTTTAATTGATCAGCAGTTAAAAATATATGCTGTAAATGGAAAGTCTGCTTTAGAGGCGAAAAAAAAACGATTTTTTTTGTTTTGTTTGAAAAACGAGCCAAGAATATATCCCTAAAATTTCAGAAACAAATTTAAATTATTTTCGGAGTTACAGAAGAAATAGTGAGCAAGTGTCAAGGAATGAACCCTTTAATTTCTCGGATTTTCATTTTTACGATTTTACCTAATTGTCGGTGTAAGATAGTAAAAAAACTAGACGTCCTCTCAAAACGAGACAAAATGCATTGCATTCAGGATTAAATTCTATTCTAGTTGAACCTGAAAAAAACTTAAAAAAGCTATAATTAACCCACTTTTTAAACAATCTAAAGTAAAATTTTGTATAAAAAAACATGATTTTTTTTCAAGTTGCAAAAAATTGGTGAACTTCTCATTTTTTTCTGGATTTTTTAGGTTCAACTAGAATCTATACTATTGAAAATATATATATTTGTTTTGATTTTTTTGTTTAGGATGGAAATTGTGACCTGCATCTTTTCCGCCTGCACGCTCGTGGCGCATCGGCAAAACGCTTGTACCTTGCATATTATGACATATATTTTAATGAAAAATTTAAGAAGAATGTTGAAATATATAACAATAAAACCTGAAAGTTTCGTTTCAATTAAATATTTATTTCCTTCCCTAAAAATTCCCCAACAAAAGCGATTTTATAAAGCCTCTAAAGCAGACCTCTTCTTTAAGATAAAAGTCATAGTAATAAAAAGGCAAAAAAGCGGCAGAAGCTGAAACTAGCAAAACTACAAATATATTATCATCTTACTCAAATATGAATCGTTCATCTTCTGTAACATTGAATTCATTTAATAATCTGACATCTCGTCCTCTGGATCCTTTGCTTAGTTTGAGTTTTTTAGACAGAGTTTTATTGAGAAGATCGACTTTCTTTGGATTCTTGAATGAGAATCTTTCCAAAAATCGTTTGCACGTGAAGTCCACCAATGGATCTCCATCGTAATCAATTTTAGTACCTGAGAAAAAAAAATGAAATAAAATTAGATGTGAGTAGCATTATGCCTTAAGGCAACGATCGGAGAACATTTTTAACCAAAATATTTTTGTAAAGTTGATATTACCCCCTTGGCAAATACAATAAATATCAATTAAAAATACATACTTTTTACCCCACAAATTCAAAAATCAAATATTAAAAAAATTGATGTGTGTGTTTGTTTTGTGTGTCTGCATGTCCACAACTGATTTGAATGGCTCAAAAAACATTCGATTCCTATTGATAGAGAGACGTGCTAATTAGTTTTTGGCAAAGGTACGTTCAGACATTTCAGAGATACGAAGCAAAAGGTGCAGAAAATAGAAATCGAGTTTTTGAGCAAACGAAACATCCGATTTGAATCATCCAAATTACATTCAATTCGTCATGATAGGGAGAAGTGGTGAATAGTTATAAATGTGCAAAAAATTGCAGTTTTTGAGAGAACTAGGGATCCGATTTGAAGGATTCAAAAAACTTTCTGCTTGTGTTGACGAAACGATTGCTTTTGGAGAAAGATTTTTTATTTTCTTATTTCAAAATTTAATTTTTTTGTTTCCAAACAAATTTTGTTTTTTAATATCGAAAATAATTCGGTTTTTAATTTTAATTCTAGCTAAAGTTCTAAAGCTCACTTATATACTTTAAATAAATAATTCTTATCAATATTAAACAGTGTCCTTAATTTTAAATCCGATTGATTAAGTCTTGTTCATTCACTTTTCTTTTAAAATATATAAACGTCCAATTCATAATAAATTCATAAACTCTCACAATTTGTCCATAAAATGAGAATAATGAAAGTTACAGTATTTATAATAATCTATTTGAAAACATTTAATATTCTTCGAATATTTCATTACGGTACAGGAAGTTCCAGCAATTTGCCTTAAGACACGATGCCATACACAACTAATTAAATTAAAGAACATTCAGAACAACTTATTGAAAACGTTATTAAAATTCACTACTGGTAATAAAACTATAAATAAAATATTAACTATTATATAACAATGCAAATCAAATTGTGATAATTCGATACATAATTGGTCATAAATTTTAATTCAACATAAAATACATGAATACAAAATATGATAATGCTTAATATTTATCATATTTATAGTAATATATAAGGCTTTGATTAATTATAGGCCTCGATATTAAAAACATAAAAACATTGCACTCCTTTGCAACTATTCTATTTTTGATACTGAGATTTTTTTTTCATTTTGGGAACACCAATCAACCGATTTGAATAATTCGTATTGATAAGGAGACGTGCTGATTAATTTTTAGGAAAGCAGGTCTAGCGGTTTCGGAGAACTAGTAAAAAAAACAAAAAAATATAAAAAATACCATTTGGCGACCAAAGATGATTATTAGACATATGCACTTCAAATTATCAGATATTTTATGGAAATTTTAATAATAATAATTTAATCTAAAATTCTCAAAAATCTAATTTTTTCAAAGTTTTAAAAAAAATTAATCTTTTTAACTTCCCGTAGGGTAAGTTATTGTAATGGGCCGAAAATCGGAAGTGAAAATTTTTACATTTCTCGACGTTTTGAAGGTTTCTGAACATTTTGGCATACCTCAGAAAAAATGGATGTGTGTGTGTGTGTGTATGTATGTATGGATACAAATTTCCAGTCACGTTTCCGGGCGAACGGATCAACCGATTTGAATGGTTCAAAAAACATTCGATTCCTATCGATAGGGAAAAGAGCTGATTAGTTTTTGGCAAAGACAGGTCCAGCCGTTTCGAGGATACGGAGCAAAGAGTGCAGAAAATAGAAATCGACTTTTTGAGAGAACGCAGTATCCGATTTGAATGATCTAAAAAACATTCAATTAGTAGTAATTGGGAGAAGTGTTTATTAGTTTTTGGCAAAGGCAGGTCCAGCGGTTTCGGAGATACGGAGCTAAATATGTGAAAAATGGCAGTTTTTGAGAGAACTAAGCGTCCGATTTGAATGATTCAAAAAACTTTCTGCTTGTCTTAACAAAATAATTGATCTTGGAAAAAAAAATTTTGTTCAATTTTTTTTTTTTTTTTTTTTTTAATTTGTTATATATCGAAAATAATTCTGATTTTATTTTTAATTCTGACTATAGTTCTAATATACTTTAAACAAATAATTTCAACTTTGCAATTCAGTTCATATAATTCTTATAAATATTAGACAACGTTACAATATTTATAATAATCTATTTGAAAACATTCAGTATTCCTCGAACATTTCGTTACGGTACGGGAAGTTCCAGCAATTTGCCTTAAGGCACAATGCCACCCACCCCACTAGTTTACAAAAATTTTTGGCACGGGAAGTTCCAGCAATTTGCCTTAAGGGACGATGCCATACACCACTAGTTCAATAATTTAGTATTACATTAATTTATAACAAACGAAACAATTGCTTCGACATACGAGCGCGATTACGAAAACAAATTTGCTCGTATGTCGGGGTTCCATTGAATTTATTTATTAAGAAAGCATATTTCTTATTCATGAGTAAGGAAGTTATATCAATAATAGTAAATTTCGAAAAATAAAATATTTTTTAAAGAGATAACTTACCTACAAAAATGTTCTCAGCAAACAACTGTACCGTCGGATGAAAGTGATCTTTAAGTTTCAATAATTCCACATACAAGGACAAGTTAGCACCGGCATGTAAAGGATTTCTATTATAAGGATCATAAAAAACAGTTTCCTTTTTAACTTTCACAACCACATCCTTATCATCCATAGCTGGATTGGCAACATCTGGTTTTGGTTCATCCTCATCCATTCCCACAACATTTACATTTGTGTCTATTTTATTATCTACATGTACCCAAGATGATTCACTTTTACCATTCTTCTTTGTACTATCAGTTTCTTTTTTAATTTCTGCCTTCTCGAAATCATATTCCACATCTTTGTACACTTCATCGCCGTCTTCTTCTTCGTCCATCCAATTTTTAGAGATAGTCTTTTTAGATATTTTGATTGTTTCTGGTTCTACAGGTTTCAAAACTTTTTCAAAGAGCCCTTTACGAGTTTGAAGAACTTTTGATATTACTATGAGAAAACCACAAGCGTATGGCACTGGCATATAGAAAGAAATCTGAAATATATAAAAGAAATATTTTACAATGCTTTTGAATATGGTATTGTATATTTAGGTTTAATTTACCTGTAATAATCGCTTAATAAACGCAATGCTTCGGATCATTATATGATCGGCGAGCAGAGCCCTATAAATAATATTTAAGCACATAGCCATTGTCGAGGAAGTGACATTATATAATTGGGGGTCCTGCAGTCGTTTATATAATGCAGAAAAAAATCTGAAAAAAAATACTGCATTGAGATTTTGTGCATGAAAGATGTAAAAGTTATGTTGCAATAAAAATAAAGATTGTTAGAAATTGATTTATAACATAAATAGTAGTTGCAGTAGTCAAGTTTACAACTTACATTTTCAGACGGTTTACAACATTCCTAGACGATTTATAAAATTCTCAAGCAGCTTTCAACATCCTCAGACTGCTTACAACATTTTCAGACAAATTACAGCCATTCTGGATATATTACAACATTTTCAGACAATCTACAACCTTTTTTAGACAATTTACAGTATTATAGCACAGACAGCTTATAGCATTCTCAGATAGCTTACAACATCCTTAGACTGTTTACAACATTCTCAGAGATTTGGCAACATGCTCGAACAGCTTGCAGTCATTCTTAGACAGCTTACAATATCCTCTGACAGCTTACAACATCCTCAGACAAAATACAATATTCTCTGACAGCTTACAACTCAGATATTTAAGAACATGATCAGACAGTTCCTAACACAATGAGACAGCTTACAACACTGTTTACAACATTCTCAGAGATTTGGCAACATGTTCGGACATCCTTAGATAGCTTTTTACAACATCCATAGTCAGAATACAATACTCAGACTGTTTGCAACATTCTCACAAAGTTGGCAACATGCTCAGACAACTTACAACTTTCTCGAACAACTTGCAACATTCTCACACAATAAAAAATATTTTTAGACAATAAAAAATATTTTCAGACAAAAAACAATATTCTCAGACAGCTTAAAACATTCTTGAACACCTTATAACAGTCACAACTTACAACATCCTCAGACATCTTACAACATTCTGAAACAGCTTACAACATCCATAGACACTCTCAGAGAATTGGCAACATGCTAGGACAGCTTACAACATCTTCAGACAGCTTGCAACATCCATAAACAGAATACAACATTCTCAGACTGTTTACAACATTCTCAGAGATTTGGCAACACGCTAGGACAGCTTACAACATCATCAGACAGCTTACATACTTAGAACATGCAACATACATTGACAGAATACAACATTTTCATACAGCTTATAACATTCTCAGATAGTTTACAACATTCTCAGACAATAAATAATATTTTCAGACAAAAAACAACATTCTCAGACATCTTACAACATTCTCAGACCTCTTGCAAAATCCTCAGACAACTTATGACATTCTCGAACAACTTGCAACATTTTCAGACAATAAAAAATATTTTCAGACAAAAAATAATATTCTCAGACAGCTTAAAACATTCTTAAATACCTTATAACAGTCTCAGACAGCTTACAATAACAGCTTGGAACATTCTCAAACAATAAATAATATTTTCTGACAAAAAACAACATTCTCTGACAGCTTATAAAATCTTCAGACAGCTTACAACATTCTCAAACAACTTGCAACATTCTCAGACAATAAAATGTATTTTCAAACAAAAAACAACATTCTCAGACTTCTTATAACAGTCTCAGGCAACTTACAATAGTTGCAAGGCAGCTTACAATAACAGCTTGGAACATTCTCAGACAATAAATAATATTTTCAGACAAAAAACAAATTTGCAGACAGCTTAAAGCATTGTCAGTCATCTTACAACAGTTTCAGACAGCTTACGACATCCTCAGACAGCTTACAACATCCATAGATAGAATACAACATTCTCAGACTGTTTACAATATTCTCGAATACTCTAGAACATTCTCAGACAATAAATAATATTTATAGATAAAAAGAAATATTTTCAGAGAGCTTAGAACATTCTCAGATAGTCTACAACATTCTCAGATAATAAATATTATTTTCAGAACATTCTCACGCAGCTTAAAACACTCTCAGACAGCTTACAACATTCTGGGAGAGGCTACAACATTCTCAGACAATCAAAAATATTTTCAGATAAGAAACAATCTAATCAACTTATAACAGTCTCAAACAGCTTAGATAACATTCTCAGACAAAAAAACATACAACATCCTCGGACTGGTAACAACATTCTCAAACAGCTTACAAAATCCATAGGCAGAATAAAACATTCTCAGACATCTTACAATATTCCGAGACAATTTACAAAATTTTCAAGCTATTCACAATATTTTCAGATGGTTTACAACATTCTCAGACAAAAAAACATACAACATCCTTGGACTGGTAACAACTTTCTCAAACAGCTTACAAAATCCATAGGCAGAATACAACATTCTCAGACAGCTTACAATATTCTGAGACAATTTACAAAATTTTCAAGCTATTCACAACATTTTCAGATGGTTTACAATATTCTCAGACAGTTTACATTATTCTGAGACAATATATAAAATTTTGAGGCTATTCACAACATTTTTAGACTGTTTACAACATTCTTAGACGGTTTACAATATTTTCAAACAGCTTACAATATTCTGAGACAATTTACAAAATTTTCAGAGGATTTACAACATTCTCAGACAGCTTACGACAATCTCAGACAGCTTACAACATTCTGAGACCATTTATAAAATATTCAGGCTATTCACAACATTTTTGGGCGGTTTACAACATTCTCAGACAGCTTATAACATTCTGAGACAATTTACAAAATTTTCAGGCTATTCACAACATTTTTTGGCGGTTTACAACATTCTCAGACAGCTTACAACATTCATTAATTAAAGCATTAAACAATAAAGATAAACTTAAAAAAATAATAAAACCCCTATCGTTTCTTTAACTTTAGGACAATTTGAGACAAAAAATATATATATTACTCACTTATCACTAAGATGTTTCGATCCCTGCTCAATTTGCATAATTAGTCCTAAGGCTTGTATTGAAATTTTAAAATTTGTTGCATATATTATCCTAAACATTGTCTCTTGTAAATCCTTTGGAATCACAGGTACTCTATAAAAAAATCAAAATAAATAAAAAACACATTATTAAGAATGTAGTAAAATTAAATTTTTACTAACCCTTCCTGTGCTTCAACTTTAGTTATAACTTGTCGCACACATTGTAATATTGTTGACATTGTCCGGGTTTCAACTTCTCCCTGAAAATCAAAATAATATTGAAAGAAAAATAAATAAAAATTAGGAATTAATAGTTTGAATCATCCTATTTAATTGAAAAATTCTGTAAAAAAATCAATTTCTCAAAACTAATTCAATAAATTCAAAACAAAATTAAATTTTCATAACTAATATGTTATATTTTTCTACATGTGCACAATTTTTGTATTATTCTGATGTGAATATTATAATATTATTATCCCTTACCTTATTTACGCAGGCTTTAAAAAATGCTATGCATATCCTAACCATTCGTTCTGCAACTTCGCTATTTATATAATTTCCTATTTGACCCAAGAAGCAAAGGGCATAATGCTGTGCTTTCCGAGGTAAATTATTTCTGAATAATAACTTTTCAGTTTCTTTAACAATAACTGTACACATATTAGGATGCCTATGAGCTATTGCTTTTAAATGGTATATCGTTTTTGATGCTACTTTATTTGATGGGTCACCAAGTTTATTGATAAGAAGACTAAGAAGTGCCTAAAAAATAAAAATTTAGTTAATATATGGGATATACATAGTTGTACAAATTAATTTTGACGTATACCTGCTCTTGTTCAGGAGTATTTTCTAATAATCTGGCTGCACAAGATATTACACGAGATTTTGTTACTTCTAAACCAAGACCAGCACTTGATTGTAAATTTCTAACAAAGCCTGAAAATATAATATTCAATATATATATATATATATATATATATATATATATACATATATAGATTGTATCTATTCTTCTTACTTATCATAGAGTCCTTTAATTCAGCTTCAAAATGCCAATAAGCCAAAATTTTACTCCTACCATCAGGACCAAGTTCTTTCGTTTTAGCATTAAGAGCTCTGAATTCAGCAGCCCTTGCAGACAAAGGTTTTAATTTTCGATCTTTCGGCAATAAAGAATTTAAAAATAAATCTGTCAATGTATCTATGACTTCTAAACATTCTTTGTTGGCTGCTTTGCATTGTCCAATAAGAGCATTCAATGCCGATAGATTTGATATTGGATCTGATTCCACTAATAGTGCTCCTGCAGTTGCTCGATCTTTGGAGGTACCTTTTGAAACTGCTGTTTTCAACCAGCTGTCTTGAGAGGTTGTTTCTGGAAAAGGATAATAGAATTAAGCAAGAAGAATATTGCCTTATGGCAAGTTGCATAAACTTTCCCAATACATTTACAGAATCAAAAGAATTGTCAATAAGATATTCAGGTATAATGCTCAACTGTTATTTCAAAAAAAAAAAAAGTTGTATTCTCTAAAAAGCAATCAATTCATGTCTTTCTAACATACTTGTATTATAAATTGAAAAAATTTGTTTATAATTATATTGTTCGTTTATAATCTCATAATCATTTTATAGATTAACCAACAAAAATCTGCACTCACTTAGTTGTCACCTTGATAAAAACTTCTAGACAAGAATCAGACGGTTAAGGATTCACATAATTCATTATCATAAATGTAAAATTACAATAAATATTGAAAATTGCTTTTCTGACATGTAAAGTAGGAAAATAACTTAATGAATTTAAATTGTAATTGTTTCTATTAGTTAATTTTAATGTCAGTACATACTTCTAGTCCTCTGCAGAAGGTAAGCATCAAAACATTTCTTGGCTTCTTTATTTAAATTATTCAACTCCTCAACTTTCAGCTCGACATTTGTGTTATCATACTCAAGCTCTGGTACCTAAAATAAATAATCAAACCAATTAATGCTAATTGCAACAATATTAATTCATTGTAAAAACATTAAAGTTAAGTTTCTTCAATCTAACCTCTTCGAACCAAAGTTCGTGTCCACCTTCAAGATTTTCAGCAAAATTTTTGGCAATGCCACGTTTTTTCTTATTACCACTTTTATTGTTGAATTTTTTAACATTAGGAGACTTTTGAGCAAGAGTCATTTTGCCTAAATTTTTATATTTTTCACTAAAAATCACATTTGTATTTTCATGCACGTGTATAAACAAGAATAAACTTTTAGGTTATGAAGTAGTTGACGTTTGACATGTGGCGCCAAGCGACAAGAAAAAGAACTAATCACTAAATAATAATAATTAAATAATTTCAAATAATTATTTGATTTTTAATTGTATTATATAATTCTTATTATTACTAAAAAATATCTAAGAGTTTTTTAAACATTTTTTGAGATACAATAATGCTAAAAAGTGTATTATTAATATATTTATTACTTTGCCATTGGCACCTGTCAAATGTGCAACTGTCAAAAGTTGTAACTGTCAAAAGTTGCAACTGTCAAATTATAATATGATAATATAAATGACGTAACAGAATGTTAATTATAACTTGTTGTGCAAAGTAATTTATTCTACTTATTTATTTAGCCAAAATGCCTGGAGCCTTACGATCAGTCAAGACCTTAGCAGAATATTTCAAACTTGCCAAAGGTTTTGACCAGTGCCTGAACAAACTAACCCTAATAAGTGCTGAAAAGGAAGGTAAATGTGTCGTTGAATTCACCGTTGACAAAGAGCATGTAAATGCTGCAGGAAACCTACATGGGGGCTTCACTGCTACTCTAGTCGATGTTGTGTCCACCTTCGCTCTTGTTGCTGCTGAAAAACCACCCGGAGTATCTGTAGATATACATGTCAGTTACCTGAAAGGAGCCACACTTGGTGAACAAATCGTTGTTGAAGCCAACACTCGAAAAGCAGGGAGGACGTTAGCATTTTTGGATGTCGAGCTGTTTAAAAAAGAATGTAGAGAGATTATAGCTAGAGGCAGTCATACCAAATTTATCGGCAGTTGAATTTTGTAATTGTAGATAAAGATTTTTATACTAAGTCATGTGTACATAGAATCTGGAATCGCACTATGGATCTTCATACAACAACTTTAATTATTGTGTAGTAAGAAACAATAATAATGTTATTGGATGATAGTATAAGTTGGAGTTTAAGCGTACTCTTAAGTATACTATCATAAATTATTGTTAAGTATCAATCGATGCGTACAATGGTTGTACAGTATGTGAACTTTAGAAAAAAATAAAGACCCATTTCAAACTACACATGATAAATTATATTTTTCATTCAAATTTAATTTTCAAAGCAAAAGCAAGAAGGTTGAACTGCTGATAAGACAAAAAATATGTAAGTTTCAAAATGAACACCATGGATGTAATTTATGTAAGTACATTTCTTTTTATTATCTATGATTAACACCTTGGTTGTTTAGTTCAACAAACATTTTAATAAATCAAAGGCATTTTACATTAATAAATCCAAAATAAATCAATATTAATTTTAGGTATATCAATACTCAATAAGCTTTTATATTAACCCGTCTTTTATATTAAAGCAGTCAGAACAATAATTAGAATATTTTATTTATTAATTTATATTTGCAATATATTGATCCTAGTGATATACTCTCACAAATATTGGATATGTTTTGTTTAGTGTCATCGTTTGATCAAATCTTGCAAACATGTAACCTCAATGAATACTGAAATTGCTTTGACATTATATATTAAAGCTCTCCATGATTTACAGTAACAGCTTAACTTTTATACTTGGCGTTTGAGCTTACTTTTTCTTTTTTCGCAAATGTTGATGCATCTTGTATAATTTCAGTAAAATATGCTAGAACTTTTTTTGGATCAAGACCCGGATTTTGCTCCATAACTTTTACAAGTTCATACCCAATTTGCTTTATTTCAGGAGGTAATTCAATATCATTGGCAGTATTCTTTTTAATTTCTTCCATTCTTGAAGTACTTTGAATAATAAAGTTATCTGATTCTTCTTTCATATCCATTTCTAAAAGCCTGCGTTTAAATCCAGTGTCAGATGGAAATACTCTTGCACATGCATGTATATGTTCAATTTAATCAAGTAGTCTATGCAGGTTCAAGAATATGTACCAGGAACGGAGAAATAAAAAGTTTTGATGCGCCTCTGTAATGAGAAAGGAGCATGCAAGATCTTTTGGCAAAGCATTCAAAATCAATCAAAATGGATACATTGCTTTTGCTTTTTCATAATGTAAAAATAAAACGGGTTGAACTATAGCATAAACCTGAACTAACTTAAGCTATGATTAAAAGATAGCTTATGTAAAGAAAGAAATATGAACTAAAATATTAAAACTATAATATGAGCTAAAAGTAACGTTTCTACAAAGTATGAAATTCTTAGAAATGAAATGAAATCTAACCTAAATGTAACCTAAACTATAAATTGAAATGCAACCTAACCTAAGTGATTAAAACGTACCTTATATATTTGTCCAAAAATAAAATAATGCAAGAATACCTACTTCTAAAGCGATCTAAAAAGTGTAAAATAGATAGAACATAATTAGTAAGAAAATAACCCTAACCTATAAAACACGTAAAAACTAAGAAAAAACCTTAACCTAGAAAACCATGAAAAAAGTAATAAACTTAGAAATTAAAAAAATAAATGTAAATTTAATAATTACGAGCAACACACGATTCACAAGAAAATTATACTAAAACCGTATGAATAACGCACAAAATAATTAAAAAACGAGGTACCAAAAAAACACTGGAAAAGAATAGACGTGAACATAGCACGAAAACCACACCAACATAATAATGCTAAAATCCCATTCAACTTTGCAGCGAATGTGAAACACATCTGAAGTATAATACAGCAAGCTTCACACCCCAAAATTGTTAGCAAATGTCAAATTATTAGCATGATTTAATTATTAGCATGATTAGTATATTGTCTAGGATGATTTAATGCCTAGTCAATATCGTATTTCATTTAAATTTAATAATTATATGATAATTAATAGTGTCTTTATATAATTAGAAGTATTAAATATGGAAAATGTAAAATTAGCAAATGCTTACGAAATATTATCAACAGAAGCAAGAGGTATTTAAAATCATTTTATATAACAGCAGCCAATATGTCAAATTGAATATAGTAAATTAATATTTACTTACTTCTTTATTTATAAAGACAAACATTATATTTTATGTTTGATGATTACTATCAAATCTTATTTCAGAATAGGGTTTTATCAATTTACTGAATATATATTAAGAGCCTGAAATAATATTTATTGTTTTCGATTACTACTTGCTTATGAATAAATAATAATTAATGATGAAAATTATAGAATAATTTTATTTGTTTTCTCAGAACTATTTCTTGGCTCACAAGTATCAGAAGTATATCATACACCGAAACCTTTAGAATTTTATAGAAATTATGTATCAAAAAATATTCCTGTCGTATTTAGAAATATTAATCAGAATTGGTATGCCGTTCAACATTGGAATTCGGATTATATGAGGTACATTTTACTTAAACTTTTAATTTAAAAAAATTGGTAATAAATAATATCTAATAATATAAAAATTGCACTTACCAAAATATTCATTTAAACTTTTCTTATTTTTATTTATTTCTGTAGTGAAAAAATAGGTGATAAAATTGTCACTGTAGCCGTAACTCCAAATGGATATGCAGATGGCCTAACTTCTCATTCCGATGTAAAATGTAAAGATTTTGAAGATCTTGAATACTTTGTGATGCCTGAAGAAAGAGAAATGCGTATGCAGGAATTTTTAGAATCTCTAAATAACAAAAATAGGTATATAACTTCACCATCTAAAATTATATGTATTAATTTATTTTTTAATATATATTATGCAGTAACGAGATTATGTACATACAGAAGCAAAATTCAAACCTGACTCTGGATTTACCTGAGCTTTCTAAAGACGTACCTGCAGATATTTCTTGGGCCAGTGAAGCTTTTGATAAAGTACCGGACGCTGTAAATTTTTGGATGGGGGATAGCAGAGCTATTACTTCAAGTAATAAAAAATAATATAAGTACTTATTATTATTATATAGTCTTTATAATCTTTCTCAATTTTTAGTGCACAAAGATCCATACGAAAACATATATTGTGTAATATCAGGCTACAAAGATTTCATATTAATACCTCCAACCGATATGCAGTATGTTCCAAAATCATTGTATCCAGTGGGAACTTTTGAAAAAGTAAATGATAACTTCGCAATCAAACCATGGACTGAAACTGGAGCTGAAACAAATACTGAGACACCATTAAATATTAAACAAATATCCTGGGTCAGCATTGACCCTCTCAAACCGGATTTAAAAAGATATCCACAGTATAATAAATGTAATATTTACCATGTCAGAGTTAATGCCGGTGATGCCTTATATTTGCCCAGTCTTTGGTATCATCACGTAAGACAGAGTCATAAATGCATCGCTGTGAATTACTGGTATGATATGGAATACGATTCTAGATATTGTTATTATAAAATGATGGAGCACCTTTGTGGATTTGACAATGTTTCATAAAATCAAATAAATTAATTTTTTAAAAAATATGTGGAGTATTATTAATATATTGTTTTTTAGCATTAAATTTCTGAAATTATATCTATCAATTAATTATTAATCATCTTGTCACAATGGTAACTGATCTTTAGGTAATTTTTACATTTCTTCACGTTTTGAAGGTTTCAGAACATTTTGGCATACCTCAGAAAAAATGGATGTGTGTGTGTGTGTATGGATACAATTTTTCGTCCACGTTTTCGGGCGCACAGATCAACCGATTTGAATGATTAAAAAAACATTCGATTCCTATTGATAGGGAGATGTGCTGATTAGTTTTTGGTAAAGGCAGATCCAACAGTAACGGAGATAAAGAGCAAAGAGTGCAGAACATAGAAATCGAGTTTTTGAGAACGGAGTGTCCAATTTGAATGATCTAAAAAACATTCAATTTGTAATGATTGGGAGAAGAGGTGATTAGTTTTTGGCAAAGACAGGTGCAGCCGTTTTGGAGATACCGAGCTAAATGTGCGAAAAATGGCAGTTTTTGAGAGAACTAAGCATCCGATTTGAATGATTAAAAAAACTTTCTGCTTATGCTGACGAAATAATAGCTTTTGGTAAAAAACATTTATTTTTTAATTCCAAAAAAAAAAATCTTTGGATATCGAAAATAATCCAAATTTTTTTTTTTTTCAAGCTAAAGCTGTAAAGCTCACTTATATAATCAATTAAATAATTTTAACTTTGCAATTCAGTTTATATAATGCTTATAAATATTAAACAATGTAATTACATTTGTTTTATAAAATTTGTAAATTATTATTTATTACTTTATGAATTTGCTGATGTTAAAAATGTGTATATAAGTACGCGAAAAAAATAAAAATAAAATGAAAAGCACATTTATATGATGTTTAAGATATATATATATATATATATATATATATATATATATATATATGTGTGTGTGTGTGTGTGTGTGTGTAAGTGTATGTAATGTATGTTTTTACATATACGCATATGGGTGTGTGCGTGTTCATATATACGGATATGTGTAAAAAAAGCCACTTACACGCCGATTTTTAAAAAAAATTACGTAATTATTACGAAATCTTTCCGTAATCCACATTACATAAAATAGACGAAATTATTACATATTTCTTAATCTTATGTAAAAACGACAAAAGCATGTAACTTTTTTGTGTAAATATTACGTAAATATTACGTATTTTTGCTTAGCGAGCTGATTGATTAAGTTTTGTTTATTTAGTTTTCTGTAAACATATATAAGTTACAGTATTTATAATAATCTATTTGAAAACATTTAATATTCCTCGAATATTTCGTTACGTTACGGAAAGTTCCAGCAATTTGTTTGCCTTATGGCACACCACTAGTAAAATTATTATTTTTGAATAATAAGTTCCTGTTAGATACTTAAATATATATTTAACCATGAATATATTATTTCAATTTATTATTATTATGAGAATAACGATTTGTTAGCTTTGACTTATTTTCTAAATAATTTAAGAACATTCAAATTTAAATAATCAAGTGACAATAATATAACAGGTAATAGGCCAAGAATTTGAAATTTTAATTCACTAACAAATTGGACATTTTATATATTTGGCGTTTGTGAGGTTTAACATGTGATATTTGATAATAAATCTATTTTATATGAATATTTAATTTTTGCATTTAGTGTAATTGGAAAAGGACTGACAATTTTCAGGGGATAAAAGACATATCTAAAATATAATAGTAATTAAATATTTGAACACAAATTGTAGTGACCAGATAAAATTACCATAAACTAAAAGTATTACTAAAAATACCCCAATAATTTTTTATATGTATGATAATATTGTCAGTCCTTGCGTCAATAAAAAAGAATTTGGCATTTATATTTAGCATTAAAACATTTTATTTTAATTGTAAAATTACTTTTTAAAACAGTTTAGTTAGTAAAGTTATTCATAACTACACCCTTAGCTTTTTATTTAAAATTAACGTTTAAGTAAAAATCGTGATGGTAACAAATATCATTTTAACAAGAAATATGTAAACTAAATTGAATATATTAATATTTTGTTATATTAAAATTTAACCATTTGTTAACTAAAAGTTATTTCGAGTTGATAAAAATACTGATTCAAAGTATTTTCCTGTTAACATATTTTTTACACTTGTTCTTAGGAATAAAATTTGTAGGCACTATATAAGTATATCGTATAATAAAAGCTTTTTTTGGATTTGCTTTATATATTAAATCCTAACGAGTAGTTTAACCAATTATAGGTTTAAAAAATAATTAGCCGCGCTTTTGATTCATATATATTATTAATATGATTAGTGACCTTTGTTTAAGAGTAAAGAGTTTTTTCGACCCATTCTTCCATGTTGAACGTCGCCGTATTGGAGCCGTCGGAGTCTCGCTCTTTGAAGATATCTGAAATATAAATTAAAAATTATGGTAAAAAAAAATAATAAGGGATAGGTCGGTGTGCTGGGTTAAACTCAAAGTCGATTCAGGGAAAAATAGTGTGAGAGATTTTCCTTTGTCATTTCACACCGTAATGCGTTAAGAAATGGGCCTATTTCCAATTGGATTTTTTTTTTATATTTTAATTGGAAACATAATACTGCACGATATCAGGTTGTCTAGAGCGTGGTTCGATATCACAATCCCCGTCCACAGGTGACCTCTACCCTTACACCATGGGGCACCTTAATTTTCTTTCAATTTAATTATCAACATTCTTTTCATTTTAATAAATTTGTCTTTATCTTTATTATACTTCCTCAAATTCTAATTAGTCTTTTCATTATTGTATTAAACATTGTTTTTAAAAATAGGATACAGAAAAGTTGCTCAAGTCGTACCACCTCCTAAGTCGTACACCGACTTTTGCATTTTGTTTGTTAATTATAAATTACAACATCTGGTATAAGTAGTTAAATAAAACTATTCAGTCGAGTAACCAAAAGTTTTCAATTAAATGGCTCAATGACTTTATAAAACAGAAATATTTGAAAATTAAGCTTTTTGTAAAGTTTCTTCTAAAATTTTGAACTTCTTTGTAAGACTTTTATAACTAAAATATGATCGTGACATTTTTTCTATGTTTATTTATATTACTTATTTGGCAATCCTTTAGGTTGCCTAAGTCGTACCGCTTAATGAAAAAATGCTACAATAATACCAAAATCTGAATCTGGTGCAAATATTACTTTTGAAAAAATAATTTTATAAACAATATAAGAAATTATATCGGCCTAGTTATAGGTTTGGTGTCTTCAAAGATTGAAATTAAAACTTTGCTTGTAGCTTAAGTCGTACCTGTACAAAATTTTTTAATCGTACTGGCTTAATATAGAAAATGGATTTTTTTTTTATAAATAAGAAGAATTCTTCTAGATAAATACAATTTCCAGAGCTTTTACTCAAATTGGAAAACAAAAAGTGGGTAGAACGAATAATTGTTGTATCTTCATGAACAGTTCCATCTCCATTCATAGCACCCAGAGACTTGATTTTATAAGTAGTACATATAAATAGTTACTTTTCGAGATCATTATTTCATTTAAGGTGTTATTTTGATTATGATGTTCGAATTTGTAACTAATAACTACAGAAAAATGGGTATCGGTCCGAATTCTATATAGTTTTCTAGTACCAAGTATGACTAAGGGGCTTACATACCTATGGTACGACTAAGGCACCTTACATACCTAAAGCACATTTTCAAAAACGTGAAAAACATATGTTTATATGAAAAATCAAAACACAGCAATTGTTAATCATAAGTTACCTGAATAAATATTTAATGAACGCGAAAAATTTTCTTTTAATTTAAAAATACTGATATATAGCATTATAAATTATATACTGTAATTTATCCATATTGTTTATTAATTGTATATATATCAAAATCCGATATAACTAGGCCTTTTATTATATTATTTATAAGATGATTTTTTAAAAGTGATATTTGTACCCGATTTAGATTTTTGTTTTGTTGCATTTTTAAAGCACGGGTACGACTTCAGCAACCTTACCCTATATTCGATATAACTAGGTTATTCAATATATTACATATAACATTATATAATAATTCAATAAATTACATATGATATTATATTTGTCCCGGATTCAAATTTTTATATTATTTTGTATTATTCTAGCATTTTATCCTCAAGGGGTACGACTTGAGCAGCATCGCACTATATTATATATAAAACGGGTTTTTATTATATATTCAATATAAGATGAGCATATGTTCCTGATAAGGATTTTTTAGAAGCAATATTTGAACTGAATTTAGATTTTTGTATTTTGTATTATTCTAGCATTTTCTCCTTATGGGGTACGACTTAAGCAACCTTACTCTATATCTAATATAACTACGTCGTTTATTATATTATATATAAAGTGACCATGTGTCCTGGATTAACCATATTTTTAAAATATTCATACTGGTCGTCCGGAATTTTAAAAATCGTAAATTTCATTTTAATGTTTATTTTAAATTTAACATTTATTTCAACGAAAAAAATACCAAATTTGAAATAAAGCACACTAAAAGCGATATTACTTGCTATTGCAAAAGTGATAAAAATTTATTCTCACGCTGATTAAATAACTTAGAATTTCGCATAAAAAAATATTTAAAAAAATCAAGTTTCGGTTAAACATATCATTTTAGCAGCGATCAGAACAGTATTTTAAGGAGTTCTACAAACTCTTGTAAAGACAGTTCCATTTTTTAATAACCTGAACTGATATTTACCAATTAGTTAAAAATTATTATGTTTTTTTACACTATAGTCTATACCGAAATGTGTATACATCAACGAATATGGATTTTAAATGTACAACTGCTTTAAATAAAATGATGAGTATTTGATTTTTTGAAAAACATTATAAAAACATTTTTTTCTTATATTTAGTTCTTTTATCGATATCTGACGTTATTTTGAAAAAAAAAGAAATTACACCACTGAGAGGCATGTCATCCCCCGCGAAATGACTTCATAGTAAGATAAACCTAATTTCAACATTTTATACAAATTGGAGCACAGTAAAAAAAACTCAGACCCAAAACGCTCCATTGACTTGAGTAAATAATCCGTATCTGTTGGAAAAAATATGAAAATACTAACGTTTGTATGTGAAAAAGAAATGGGCTGTTTTTTCGCCGTAAGAACCATCCTTGGACATCAACGAACATTTTTAAAAAATAATTGGCCAAATCGGTCCAGGCGTTGTTACCAACACATTTTGCGATTCATTTTTATATATGAGAAGATTATATTCTTACCGATCATGCTCTTCAGTTTGACAGCGCACATGATGAAGTCATCAAAGGCAATCATTCCGTCCTTGGTACCATATCTGTGCATCAGGATGTTCAGGATGTGGTTGTTCAACCTGTAACCTGCACTGTTCAAGGCCTGACGCAATTCGAAGGCGCTCAGGCAACCTGAACCGTCGCGGTCGTATAGTTTGAAAACGGCCTGAAAATATAATAAATAGAGTTTCAAACACGTCTGGGATACTGTAAAGTAAAATGATAAAGGCAATATTATGGACTTTGTACAAATTTTCTAAAGACATCATTCGAATTAGGGAATGCAATACCGATGGAAAATATCAATACCGATATTTCGGTAATTTTTCATTTTAAAACCGGAATACCGGTAAATTACCGGTATTTTTATTATCTTAAACAAATGTAAACAAAATTAAAAGTTACTAATACAAATATAAAATATATAATTGTATGTACAACAACATCTATATTCAACTAAACAATAAAAACATTAATATAAAACAATAACTTTATTTTTTTAAATAATAATTTAACAAAATTATATCCAATTTAATTAATTCATTATCACTATAGAACTTTTCACCAAAAACAAACTTATGAGTAAGAAAGACCAAAAACTCATAAAAGATCATATTACATTATTATAATAAACTATATTGGCTGTATTCGATGTGTTAAATTAGCATAATCTCCAATATTTAAAAAATAATAATTTTTCTATATTAATTTAAGATCGGATACTTTGTCGAGATAAATAATAAGTTATTACATTTGTTGAGTATTGTTATTTAAAACAATGTTATGCTTCTATAGCATTTTCAAACTTTGAAACGTTTTCCAAAAATATTTTATAATTGTAATAAGAAGCAAAAATATTTAGTAATTATCATAATTATCATGTATAAAGTTAGAAAAAATAAAGATTACAAAGATCACTTAAAAAAAAGTTAAATTTTTACATAAGATGAAACAAACACCATTATCTATCAGTCCAATTCTATTTATTGTAACACGTTATGAAGCCCTTAGTAAAGCAATAAGTCAGTTTAATGACGAGTTGAGATAATATTTGACATTTGTTTATCCTATAGAATCACTTGAAGATATAGCTGTTTATGCGATTATGGAATTTAAACATAAATTTGTTCCGAGAAATTTAAACTGTATTGTATTATGTATCAAATAGCGCTTATTAAAAAATACCGAAAATACCGGTATTTTTGGGGTAAATACCTGTAAAAATACCGCCGAAAAATCGGGCGTTTTACCGGTAATTCGGTATACCGGTATTGCATTCCCTAATTCAAATTATTCGAAACTTTCAATATTTCAACTATTGAAAAAAATGTGTGCTCATCAATAAATGCAGATTTTTTTTTCAATTCGTTCTTATAAAACTAAGTGGTGATGGCGGTGAATCAAAATTGTTCAGAGTAAAAGCTTAAAGTAAGTCTTAATTATACAATGGACTAAGTTCCGGAAGTTGTGCAAGCTTTCTGAACTTAATCCTAAGACTTGAAATTTCAATCTGCTTATATATCCGGGTAAGTTCAAAAAATTGTCATACAACTTCAAGCTCTCACCTTTGCTGTATCAGAGCAGGTCGCAAGTTTGTTCTCGCGCCAGTCAGTAAATAAACAAATGATTATTAAATATATTTTTTGGAAGTTTACAAACCTTCCAATTCCTGATGTCCATCCACAAAGTCTTGAACTCTTCGTATCCTAGTTTACCAGAATGATCATGATCCAGCATAGCTACCATACTGCGACACACGTCCTTGGAGAAACCGCGGCTTTTGGTTTCTGGATAAAATTTTAATAGAAAGATTATATTATAAATTAAATATTTTATTAATTTAAATACAGAAAAAATATCGAAAATAACGTTGAACTTTGTGACTTGAACCTAGGGTTAAAAACAGAACACGAGTAGGTAATTGGGAGTACTATCAGACTATTGCAAGGGATATAGAAATATTTTATTTTTATAGAATATAGAAATTCCTAAAATAAAATTAAATTTATAATTTTTTTATGGTGTTCTTTATATATTTAAGAAATTTATCGATTCATTTCGAACGACATCAAGAAACAACTAGGTAATTGTCTTATAAGTTAGTTTGATAAGTAAAGAAAGTTGACAGATAAATAAGCACAAAAAAGTTGATTACTAACTAATTTTTTAACAGTTATATTAAAGTCTTGTAAAGTTGTTTCTCCAGAAAAATCGATCGTTCTATTTCAAAGGCATAATTTAAGATTTAATAAATAAACTATAAATAGTGTTATTTAAAATATATAGCGTTTATTTGAGAGTTGTCTTAAAATAACGTAATCTAATCGAAAATGTTACATGTGCACTATTATAACGATGATTGGTTAAATTTGTTAGTGGACAAACACCGAAAGCTGATGTTATTCACGCACAAAATTGAAAATTAATTTTACTGTAGAAAATAAAAATGATTGGTAGATGCTATTCTACGTACTAAAGACTACATCAAAGAACACAACAATTCTTTCAATCATATACATACTGGGTTTTCAGAATTAAATTAAAGAGTATCTTAAATTTAAATGAGAAATTTAGGTGATATAAAATAAATTTTCGCAATTTTAAATAAGAACATTAAGTAAATCGTATAAATCCAGATTAATCCATTTCTTGTAGTATTTAATATTTTTTATGACATACTGAGCGAATAAAATTCCTTAAATTTAAATGAGAAAATTGAATAAATTTGAAAGAGTTCAATTGGATCCTTTTGTAGTATAACACAAATTCTATTAGACAAAAACTTTTTTGTAGAAGACAATATTATATATCTATTTGTAACTTACATTTTATATATAAACTAAATTTATTTTTACAAACAGTCAATCCTCCTATAACGCGGTAATAGAATAATCGCGCTATAAACTAAAACTTAACTCAAACGCGTTGTATGGAAACCGCGCTATAAAAACATCAAATTAGTATGAATCATAATTTCTAGCCATATGGGGACCAATAAATATAAAAGATAAAATTTATATAAAAAATAAAAAATAAATTATTTTTATTGACTTGAAGAGTTAATAACTTATGAATTTAAGTAACATCATAATTTAAATATATTGACGAATTCTTATTATAAGACAAAAAAAATGACTTAAAACTTGCAACTTGCTACTGTCTAGATTCTAGAGTACAACTTCCAAGTACAGGTAAGAAAATTGAGTGAACTTTAATCTAACTCTTTAACTCCATTGTCAAATTTTTAAAAGCCCAAAAATTCTACGATATATCTGAATTTGCCAATTTCGTTATCAAACAATAATTCGGTAAAAAACAATAACAACTGCAAATAATGTTTGATAATTTTTCAGGCAACTGTTCCAATTTTTTCCTTTTTTGACACTTCCTTTATTTTCCGTTTAAAAATTATTTTAACATTTACTTTTTAAGTTATTAAAAACCCTTATTAAATAATTTCCAAATTTGAGAATTACCCAATGGATAATTAAAGGATTTTTTTACCCTTAGAAAAATCTCAAGACATTTATCTATTTGAAATACTGAATATTCTATTACAAGCTTTAAATGAACAGTAACATTATTATACATATAAAACTTAACATCCTTTTAGCTTGTCATTTCACTGTAATTAATTGAAAAAAAAAGATAATTTGTTAATTACTATAACAAGACTAAACCTGTATCAGAAATATACGAAATTTAGTCAATGAAAAACTTATAATTTAAAACCTTATATAATACCTAGTTACTATAGAGTCATTCATAGGTTTTGCAAATGGAACTTATGGGTTGTTGAACCGCGCTGTAGAAGTACCGCTTTATAAAAGAACTGCCGCAGTTTCAGTTCCGCGTAATATGGAAACCGTAAGAGTACCGTGTTATAGGGGGATTGACTGTAAATAATACTATAAGAATATTCTTTTATATTTATAACACATCTTCGAAGGCGTTTTAATTTAACATAAAAATTCAGCACAAAAAGCATTATAGATTTTTATTACCACGAACGCCAATTTCACTCAAAATAATTTCAAGTCTGACATTAAAAAAGCACATAAACTTTTAGGCTTCATCATAAAAAAGCACAAATCAACCAATCCTAGCCAAGAATGCCCGTGTGGTATTTTTACACGTATATTTCTAATAGTTCAGTAAACGGAGAGGAAAAAAGGGTATAACCTCTGATTTTTTTTTACTGTGCTCCGAATTGAATGAAATTTTGGAATTAGGTTCATCTTACTCTCAAATTCAAAAGTGAAAACAATTCGGGTTGCGCCATCACCCCCCTTCTAAATTGTGTAATTACATTTTTTCAAAATAACGTCGGAAATTGATAGAAGAACTAATTATAAGAAAAAAATGTCTTTTATAGTTTTTCAAAAAAACTAATACTTTTCAAGTTACTGGCCACTTAAGATTTATATATTTTTGGCGTTTTTCTTCGTTTTTTTGCAAATATCTCCTAAAATATACATTTTAACGAAAATCATGTAATGAACAAAATAATGTCAATAAAAATCTTAATAAATCGGTATTACATAAAGTGTTCTAGGAAAAGTATTAAGCAAGATTTAAAAGAGCAAAGTCGGAAAAAAAGTTTTCATAAAATCGTGAGTTTTCTGAAAATAGTTGGTACTAAAGTAGTGAAACTGCTAGAATCCATCAAAATGTCTATAATGAAGTGAATTCTAGATGGAATGTAAATTACTTTAATTATGGTGCAAATGGCGCTCATTAAACCATAAGATTTAAAAGAAAAAAACTTCGTATATGCTTCTTATTTGCATGATAGCTCACTCATTTTACACGCAAAAAATTTGTAACAACACTCATTTTAAAGCTCATGTTGAGCACTATAAAACCCTTTTCACCGAAATGCATAAAATGCAAAACCTCGACACCAGATGGCTTCAAATACAACAATTAAATCTTGAACGAAATAAAAAACGACTTTGCTCTTTCAAATCTTGCTTAATATTTTTCCTAGAACACTTTATGTAATACCGATTTATTAAGATTTTTATTGACATTATTTTGTTCATTACATGATTTTCGTTAAAATGTATATTTTAGGAGATATTTGCAAAAAAACGAAGAAAAACGCCAAAAATATATGAATATTTAGTGGCCAGTAACTTGAAAAGTATTAGTTTTTTTGAAAAACTATAAAAGACATTTTTTTCTTATAATTAGTTCTTCTAACCGACATTATTTTGAAAAAATGTAATTACACAATTGAGAAGGAGCGTCATCCCCCCGGGGGGTAATGGCGCAACCCGAATTGTTTTCACTTTTGAACTTGAGGGTAAGATGAACCTAATTCCAAAATTTCATTCAATTCGGAGCACAGTAACAAAATTCAGACCTAAAACGCTCCGTTTACTGCACTATAATATTCTCTTATAAACCCTTTCAACTTTCTTTTCATCATCCGACGTACCAGCTAAAGTCTGCGACGCGTTCGTCATTCCGAACGATTCCTGGGCGGCCTGGTTGTCTCCGCAGAACCTGGCGCAGATCAGAGATATAATGTCGCCTACACCAGGACCTTCTTCGCCTCCGCCGCCGCCTCCTGGTCCTCCGCCTCCGCCTGGGGTGCCCTCGAGGGCGGCCACGGCGCGACCGCGATTTCCGGGCAGTTCTGTTTTTTGTTCGGTCAGGAGGATGTTTTCAAATTTTTGGTGGGAAAATAAAATGGAACGCGCGGGAAAATACCACACTCGGATAGAAAAAAGTGCTACACTTATATACCTCGACATGCGATTGTGATAAATACAATGATAATAATAATAATAATAGTAATAGAAATACACCCATACCTGAGCTCGGTTTCGCGTTTTTGAACTTCTCGAAGAAGAAGTTTATATTTTCGCCAAAAAATCCGATTTGCTGATTTTATGTTTTATCGACGTTTCAAGTCATTCTGAATCGAATGAGACCAAATTTGGAAAAAATTATGTATGGGTGTGTGCGCGTGTGTTTGAACAGATTTTTTGCCGTAAGTCGACGTTTTCTCAAAAACGCCTGGAGAATGAGACCAAATTTGGAAAAAGTATGTGTGTGTGTCTGTAGATGCGCTGGGTTTTTCCAATTTTGATTTTAAAAATTCATTCGATGTAACTCAAAAAGGACTAGCGTTGGCCAGTTTTGCACAATCATCGAACAAGCCTTTTTTTATTAGCAGAAAGTGACTTTTTTTCAACATTTTAACACGCAAATTTTAATCGATTTTAAAAACTACTCGAAATATATTAATTTGGAATCGTGCTGATTATTGTTTAGTAAAGATTGGCCGTTTCTTCGTAATTAAATGTTAAACTAGTGGTGTATGGCATCGTGCCTTAAGGCAAATTTCTGACACTTCCCGTACAGTAACAAAATGTTCGAGGAATATTAAAAGTTTTCAAATAGATTATAATAAATAATGTCTAAATTTGTCTAATATTTATTTATAAGAATTATATAAATTGAATTACAAAGTTAAAGTTATTTATTTAAAATATATAAGTGAGCTTTAAAACTTTAGCCAGAATTAAAATCAAAATGTGAATTTTTCACAATATACAAACAAAAAAGACATTTTTTTCCAAAAGCAATTGTTTTGTCAACGCAAGCAGAAAGATTTTTGAATCATTAAATTCGGATGAATATTTCTCTCAAAAATATATATATTTATCTCTATATTTATCTCTATATCTTCGAAATGGCTGGGTCTGCCTTTGCCAAAAACTAATCAGCACATCTCCCTATCAATAGGAGTCGAATGTTTTTTGAATCATTCAAATCGGTTGATCCGTGCGCCCGAAAACAAAAAATGCGGTCATACAAAACACACACACATACGAGTACACACACATCCATTTTTTGTGAGGTATGCGAAAACGTTCAGAAACCTTCAAAACGTCGAGAAATGCAAAAATTTACATTTTCGATTTTCGGTCCATTACTATAACTCACCCTACGAAAAGTTAACTAGTGGTACATGGCATCGTGCCTTGAATTAAATTGCTAGAACTTCTCGTAACAAAAATAAATTTTTTTTTTAAAAGATTGAATTTTCTTTTAGAACCCCGAAAAAATCGATTTTTGAATCAAAAGTGACCTTTTTGAAAAATTTGATTTTTTATACTTTGAAATATTGAACTTTGAAATGGCATTTTTCACTTTTTTTATTGGATCTACGAAACCACTAGACAAGTCTTCCCAAAAATTTAATCAGTTCTGCATTTCGTCGATACAAATAAAATGTTTTTTATATCATACAAATTAAACGTTCCGATTATGATTTTTTGAACTTACTATCTTCGAAACGGTTCGACCTACCTTTGCCAAAACAACTAATCAGCATGTCTCCTGATCAATACGAATCGAATTATTCAAATCGGATGAGCCGTGTTTCCGAAATCGTCGACTAAAATTTTGTATCCGCACAGCAACACACACACATACATCATTTTTTTCTAAGGTATGCCAAAATGTTCAGAAGACCTTAAAACGTAAGCATATGCAAAAAAAAATATTTTGGATTTTTTGGCGATTACTATAACTTACTCTACGGGAATTTAAAAAAATGTACATTTTTAATAAAAAATTTTATCACGATGGAGTTGGTCATAATAAAAATACTTAAATTTTACGGTTCTATTTCAAAACTTCAAAAAGGTTTGAATAAATATAAAAGTCAAAATTTGTGTCAAAAAACGAATAAAAAATTGAACCAAGTATTCTAGAATTAGGACAATTCGTGAAACTATGGATTTAAAATTTTCAAAATTTGTCGACTTTGACAGGCCTTTTTTTGAAAAAATAATTAATAAGTTGGCGAATTTGATCAGTCTTTTGTTGAATAAAAAAAGTCGCTTTTGTGATGTGTTAAGTCAAAATTTGACCTTTCATCGACAATTTCTCAAAAACGGCTGAACCGATTTCACAAATTCAAAAATTCGATTAAAATTAAAATTTAAATTAAATAATATATCTTAATAACTATTACGTATTTACATCTTAATTAAATATAACTAACAATGGCAAATAGTGTGTTGCATGCCGAGCTATATATAAAGTGTATCAAGTTTTCTTACCCAAAATATAAGCAAAAGCAAAAATTAAACGCCTAACCTATCGTTATCGTTCCTATTCTATCAATAGGAAAAAAAAATATAACTTTGCATAAGTAAATAATACCATATTTTAAAATTATTACCAATTATAAAAAAGTTCACCAATCAATCATAACCCAGTACATATATAGGACGATGTTAAGTTTCACAGAAAGCATTTAAAAAAGCACATGCAGAAAAAATAATTATTCTACCTAATTAAAATTTAATGGTAAACTATTATTCGATCTATATGTACTAAATATTTAAAACTTATAACCTACACATTTAAACTTTGTGCATTTTTCTTTTTCTTTAAATTTATACAACAAAATGCAAAAAACAACGAAACTAGAAGATAGAACTAAATAAAATTTTAAAATCAAAAACTTTAGTTCAAATGTAAAAGAAAGGTTAAATTTAAAGTTATAACCAATGCTAGTTAAGTATTTAATATAGAGGAATTAATCAAGCAATATATTATCATTCGCAAAAGCATTCTGCAAATTAACTTCAAATAGCTGATTTTTGAATTCACAAACTTTTAAAATATGATATTGAACTAAAGCCAAAAGAAGACTTTGTTAAATGTTATTCAAAAATTGTAACAAAACCTATTTACTGGTATATCTTTTAAACTCAAACTTGAATAAGACCTAATAATTTATAAATAACAATTTTCTTCTTGATATTCAGAACCAGTTCAGATTTTATTTAAAAATTTCAGGAAATAATATATTTGGTTTTCAAGATTTGTTTGTGAGTTCTGTTCATAATTCATTTGTAAATATTATTTACATATAATATTATCTTCATCTTATATTACAGGAACCCTGTTATTATTAAGAAATGCTAAATTATATAAATTTTATCATAAAAAATCGTAAGAATTATAAATAAATTACTTTATAAAAGGGCCAATTGAGTAAAAAAATTAAAGTTTTCATCAAATAGTAGCAATTTTTTGGTAAGTTATCTTCTTTGTTCATTTAAATATTGAAACGCTAAATAGCATTTTTTGAAGCACAATCATAGTGACAAAACTGAACCAAATTTTATAAAATTAAAATTATTTGTTAAACTATAAATTTAAAATACAAAGGCAAAATTTGTCGCATTCGAAAGACCATTCTTAAAAAAAATATGTACCAACAAGTAACATTAAAAATTGGCAATCATGATTGTATAGTTTTCAAGTTTTTGCGCCAATTCTGTTCATAACATATTTATAATATTATTTATGAAATTTATAAATTTCATTATAACAAAATTATAAACACTTACTCATGTGGTAAGAAAAATTCGCATAATGAAGTATTACTTCATAAAAAAAGAGTGTTAAAGAAAAAAACTAGAATTTTGGTCTAACTTAAACAATTTTTCGGTTATTGTAGTTAATTTTCATATAATATGATTTTTTTCCATTCAAATTACATTTTTAGAATCATATATATCGACACAATTACTCTAGATCAGTCTAGAATTTAGACAATTTGTTAAATCATGATTTTAATAAGATATTAAAAATTTTCCGACTTGAAATACCCTCATTTAAAAAAAATGTACTGAAGATATAATTAACTATTAAGAGTCTTGGCAAGTGTTATTAAAAATTGTCGCAGGATTGTAAAGTGGTACAGTACTTGTTAATTTCATATTAAAAAAAAATAGGTAAAACCTCATTAAAATTTAATTCAGGTGCGTTTGATTATCCAAATATGTTATTTGGTATTTAAAAATATTATTTGTTAGATGGATGTATTTTCCTTGCAAAATTTTTATCAAAACTTTCTATGAAATCTTTCGTTCTTAAAGAATATCTCCAGCCAAAATCGATATAACATTAGAAAATGTATAAATTTTCTCATAATATCAAACATATGTATTATTACACAATTTGTCAATTTCATTGCAAACACATCTTTTGAAATTCACCAAAATCTGAACTGTTTCCGAACTTAAAAATGTTGCAAAAATTCTACTTCATCAAGAACAAAACTAAATATGATGTCTTGTTATTGACGTCTACCAAATCTAATATTTTATTAAACCAATCAAAAAAAAAAAAATTCTTACCGTTCCTCATGGAATAATCCAAAATCTCTTTAAGTTCCATCCAGTCGACTTCCTGGTCTTCACCAGCAAGACGAAGGAAGAACTGGTAAACCTGGTCATCAGGTCTAGGCTGGTCAGGTGTTGGTTCAGGTTGAGGAACCACGATCTGATGTTTTGGAATAAAAAAAATTGAAGAAGAATTAGTATTTTGTGGTGATAAAAGTAGAGACAAAAAACAAGAAAACAAAGTTAAAAACACATCTGAAAATTATTTTGGACTGTGGAGTATTAGGTCAACTACTATGTACATCAGAATTAAATTTTGATGAATTTTGCAGGAAAATTTATGAAAATTATTAGATAAAGTACTAAAGTATTAGAATTTACAAGTTGGCTAAGATTGGAAATTGATAAAAATGTCAATTCATTTGAAATTTGAATTTAGCTGAAATTATGAACCTAGACAATATCAGAATATAATATACATGAAAAATGTAATGTCTACATTATTACTGCCGAAAAGCAGCTGAGATGTGCCAGAAATTAAAATAATATAAGATACAGCCAACAGTATATGTTTGGCAGATGTAATTATATAATTCAGTTAAATAAATAACTGCAATAAGTCCAAAATTGCATATGAATTATTTTTTTAAACTTATGCATGCCGCATTTTGGTTTATTTTACTAAATTATTTAACAATACAAAAAATATTTCTACTTATTAAAAAGAATGCAATCTTAAAAATTCTTCTGTTTTTTTTTATCTTAAAAATTTCAGGCTTTTTTAAAAAATTTTGTTTCCATAAATCTATCTAAATAAATCCGTACACAAATAATATTAATTAATAATTATTAATTTTTAGTAGAATTTTTAGACACAACACCGGTTATCAAATTTTTGTCAATTTTCAAATAGGTAATTTGGTATTAATTTTATTACATATAAACCAAGACCAGGATTAATCTGTTAAGTACTTATATAATAATTAGTTTTTTATAGTAAATTCTGCAACATTTAATTTTTTTTTAAATTAATGTGCTATGTTGAAACAATTTTTTTAACAAGTACACTTTGTATTTATAGAAAGCACATATTGTTAATTTTTAATTCCTTGAATACAATTTTATTAATTCTTTAAGTACAATTTTATAAAATCCATTAAATGATTAATTTATAATAGATTTAAAAAGTTCACCTAATAATTGTTAAAAAAAATATTTGTTTCAACATAACACACACATGGGGTTGATCGGGGCAAAATCTTACGTACTTATTTATAAGACATTATGTAAAAATTTCTTGAAAAATGAAATATTTGTCAATTGAAAATAAACATATAAAAAATCTCAATTTGAATTTAATACAAGGAAAAATGACTTATTTTTAATACGAAAATTTATACATAACAAAAGTTGTGCAGGATCATCCATGTAATATTTTATGCAATATTTTATATTTTTTTAGGGTTTTCAGGAATATAATGTCTTATAAACAAGTCGTTTTATTTATTTTTTACTTACGTTATTAATACCACCATTATAGTTATCTCCAGTCGCCTAAAAATTATAATGTGAATATAATGTGATACAAAGCGGACAGATACATGCCAGAAATTCGTTCGCATATAGTGACATCACATAACAGGGAACATAGATTTTGATCAAGGTAAAAATATATAAACCAAGTCAAAAAACGATGTTTTAAAATAATGAATTAATAGTAGAAAATGTATTGCAACTACGAGATATTCCATAGATTTTTTTTTTTGGAAACTGTACAACTGTACAGTAGAAAAAGCTAGAAAATTTTGGGGAAAAACTAACAATTTTGCAACGAATGCAACACTTTATGATAATTTATAACCGTTTATGAAATATTTCAATCAACCTCTAAAAAGACTTCCTAAACCATCTAAATATAAGTAGGAGTACTAAATATTTAATAAAAATAATTTAAGTTTCAATTTCAAAGTTCCAAAGCTCTCAAATGGGTCAAAATTAAAATTTGAAAAGCTTCATTTTACATTTGTGACATTTATCTTATTTATCTAGTGAAGTAATAAATGCTTCAATTAATTTTAATTACAATTCCAAAGTTACAAGGCGTTCTAAATTTAAAGTTAAGTTCAAATTTAAAATTTTAGATTTTCTAATAAATTTATTAATGCAAATGAGTAATAAATATTTTTAGAATGAACAAAATTAAAACGTCTCCTTGTATCCTTGATCAAAATGTATGTTCCCTGTTAGCAATTAAAAGAAAATGTTAAAATAAAATTATATTTTATGCATACCATAATTGTTAAAGTTAGTCTTTGATTTGGCCATGAAAAAATGTTTTTTGATAATAAAGTAAAAGATAAAGTTTTATGATAAAAGTGAACGTTATGGATAAAATTTCCCATAAATTGAAAATGACTAATGTGGTTCAATTTTGAATTTCAAAAATTGAATTCAATAATTTTTTTTGTTTAAATCCTAGATCAACTTCTAAATGAAACAATTTACTAGGTGATTTTTGTTTAATGAATATCGGTACTCAAAATAAAAATAATATTATTAAGTCAAAAAAAAAATTTAAAAATGTATAGTATTGATTTAATTTGTGTAAAGAAGTTGATATAAAAAATGAAATAAATTTATGACCATTAATTCCAAATGAAACCTGAAAATTAAAGCCAATTAGTAATTTTTTTGATATTAATCTGCATATATTTTTTGCTGTATTTTTGTCTTGTTTAAGTGTTTTTGTTTTCAAAAATTTATATTTCGCAAAATGTCTCTTTCAAAGAAAAATAAAAACATCGACTGCACTACTATACCACCTTCAGCATTCCAAAAATGAAAAAAAAATCTACGAAGCAAAAATTTCTCAACAAAAAAAAGAAAAATATTTATACGTAGCGCAAAAATAAATAGTTCGACGAAATAAAAAAAAAATATTTTGCTGAATTTCTAAACTATCTACTATTTTATACCAAAGTTTCTACTACCATTTCTATTATATAAAATATTATTAAATATTGTCATGTGTTTCTGGCTAAATGTTAACATTGTGATTGATGTTTTATAGTCCAGAATTTTTTAATTAAATATTTAAAATAAAAATGGATAATATATTAACTAAAATATCATAAAATAATGTGTTGGATTTGCAATTTAAATAAATTTAAATAAATTACTTTTGTGCCTAGAATTAATTGTCGAGAATTTTCCTCCAAAATCAAAGTTTCTATTATTCTTGTCAATAATTATTTCTAAAAAAATAATAAATAAAATAAAAAAAAAATCTAAACTAAAAAATATATTCTTGAAAAAAAAATCTGTACTAGAAAAATAATTTTTAATAAGTTTTGAAAAAAACTGGATTATAAAATGTATTTTTCCAAAAAAAAAAACATGTGTACTTCAAAAAATTTCAATTTAGTCAATATAATTTGTACAAAAAACAGTTTTTATAATCCTGGACTACAAAATAAAATCGTAAGAGATTTTAATGAATAATTAATTTTGAATTTCTAGTAGCATTTGTGTATTTGGTGTTCAGTATCGATTTAGCAGCTATTTGTGTGTTCGTGTGGTTTTTAGTTGTAAGAACCATTGATACGACCAAGTGCAGTTAATATGATATATAGATATGTCTAAAAGTTTGAGAAATACTGATAGAAAACTCACCCTGTCGTCGATTTCGCCGACGCCGACCTCCTCGTCATTTTCCCTGAAAGAAAAAAAAAATCACATTTAAATAATAATAAAAAACACATTTTTGTAAAAATTGGAATCAAAAGTAATATATACTTCATATAAATTTAAGATCTTCAAAACACATTGTTACTTATTGAATATTTTAATATTCTTAGTTTGATCTGAATTTGAACAGTCTGTTAAAAAAATTATTTTAAATATTAATTCGATTTACAACCCTTGCTTTTAAATGTTTTCCCAAGAAAACCCATTTGATGGTTGAGGAGGGCAGTTGTAAATATTTTCCGGGGAAAATCAACAAAAAAAATTTAAATGCTTGAAAAAATGCTACATTAAACTTCCCATTCATCTTCCTTAAGAAAAGAAAGTATGGCAAGTTCATAATTCCTAGCAAAATTAAAATGAAACATGACCTAAACAAATTTGCAACACTTATCTACACTGCCTTCGATTTTTTTTTTAAATCTAAATAGAGTAATATAGACCACATTTAATAATCTATCTTTTTGAATTAAAAGATGAGTATTTACATTGGCAAGTTTTATCGATTTTTGCTCTAGTTAAAGTTAAATTAATTATATTTCAAAAATATAATTAATAAGCCTATATATTTCCCACACTATCCTAAATCCACACTAAATTTATATAAAATGACTTAACTATTCAATCGCAAGTACTAAAAAAAAATTGATCCCATTTTAAATCATATATCCATAATCCTTATATTATTTTTATAATTTTATACTACTTTTATCTACGTATAAAACTACATCATAGAGCATAAATTTAGATACTTATCTATGCTATTACAATACTAACCTTTCTCAGAACGTTCCCGAAAATCTAATAATGTTAAATTTAATTTTAGCATGACATACGAAAAACATTAAGCAATAATAGCTATTAAATTAATTTCATAGCCATGACTAAATTTTCTACAAAGCAGTTTCATAAAACATAAAATATTAAATATATATATATATATATATATATATATATATATATAAATATATATATATATATATATATAAATATATATATATATATATATATATATATATCCATTAATTTTACGTACTCCATGTGGTTTTTGTTCTCAGAGAATACTCTCAACAAAAATTCTCCTTCCTCGTTTGGCTCGAAAGTTGAAGGCACAATGCAGTAAGTACCAGGCGGTAGTTTGAAGCGGCAGGAAACCTGAAAAAAATATTTAAGTTAATAATTCAAATTTGATTAAAACCTCAAGAAAATATACAATTATCAAATCACATTTCCTAGCAGAAACAAAACCTCTCCTTTTATTTAGAAAGTTAAAATAAATCATAATAATATTAATGACCTAACAGTTTGTCTATTTATTATTATGTTTACTTACTTCTCTTAAATTAATGAATGACTGCGATCTAGCTACTGAAGCATTGTATTTGAAGAAGTTGATGTCCAGCGGCCTTGGCATACGGTTAGGATCTCTCAACTACAAAAAATATACAAAATATTACTTAAAACCAATGATAAATAATCGCCAATCATTATTAATCATACATGATAAACGGCAAATCCAATGGTCAAACATTCCATTCCCAAATTTCTTCTGGACCTCCTATTTTTCTGCATAAGAGCAATGATGACTGTACATTTGCCTTCTTCATCTTCCTCGTCAGGCTCTTCGAGAGTGATTGTGTATTGTGGATTGTGCCAGAAAGTATCTAGAAGAAAAATTAGAATTATATTTTGTTGATAAAAAAAATTATTGTATGACGTACCTAAATAATTTCTGCATCCACCAGCTGTGACTCCACGTACCCATTCGCCTTCAAATGTGGATGTCTCCCACTTTTTCTTGCCTTGGCTCAACTATGGAGACACGAAAACGTTATTCTTATATATAAAAATGGAGCTCGATAAAATGATCTGCTAAAACTCGAAAAGGGCTAAACCGATTTGGCCAGTCTAAGTCTTGAAAAATTCGTGCTAATCAGTAGGTTGTCGGAAAGGTGAGATATTATTTGAAAATCGCGTAGAAACTTTACATTTTTAATTTGAACATTTTTGTAGAAGCGTAATTTGAATAAAACAATGGACGGTGGCTAATACGTCAAATGACAAACGTTTTTGACAAGATGATGTTCAATTACGTTTAATAGGATGTTTTACGTGAATATTATTTAATTATGATTAAATTGTAGTAAGCAGGTTTGTTTGTAGTTTTATTTATATACAAAAACGTTAGTAAACGAGCCGCAAGTGTTACTAGAAACTTAAAATATCAACTTTTTTGAAACGTTAATATGAAAATGCACTTTTTGGCGTTATAGCATTTTTTTGCAAATCATATTTTTTTCAAACACGGTGCTCTGAAAGATCTCATTTGTATAATTATATATTCATTTGTATTTATAAAACATTTTCTAGTTATTTTTTATTTATGTTATTTAAATTCAGAACCTAAATTTGGTATCGATCAAAGGGACATTTTGTCGAATAACATTTTCCCAGTTATAATTTCCCGGAATTTATCGAAGAATAGATAGTAATATATGAAGGTCCGGGGTTAAAAAGGGCCACCGCCGATGCGTCAAAAACGGGTAAAGTTAAACATTGTTTAACAACAATATTTGAAAGTAGAGGGAAAAAGATGTTAACTAGCTATAACCTTGATTCTCATGACTTAGCTATCCGGAGATAAACGGTAATCTTTGAAAAGCCATAATAAAAGTATTTTCTTCCATTGGTAGTTTTATAGCATTAGTTAAAAATGTAATTTGTCAAATACCCTTAAAATTAAAATAAGCCATTAAACCTGTTTGCCACCTGGTTGTTCCAAGTTACCCCGTCTATGGGGTAAAAAGGTCTAGATAAATAATTGTTGAAAAACAGCAAAAAAGCACATTTCTACAATGTTGAAGTAGCTGACAGTTTTACTGAATGTAGTCAGATAATTTGTTGTGATATAATTGGTTTCGTTTTCAAAATATAATTTATATTTGCTCAAAGTCAAATTGGACCTTTGTGTCTCGCCCTGCTTTACATATATACTTTTTATAAAATTTACTTTAATTTATCGAATGTTACTTGAAACTTTTCAAAACGCAGGTTGAAGAAGAAATACTTAAATTATTTTCTATCTCTCCTTGCAGAGATTTGAAAATTTTGTATAAGCTCAGTAGTATTATTTACAATTATACACAAAATCCAGAATCCAAAAAGAATCTGAAAAACTTGAAACGTAATCAATAAGTCGAAAGACCAAAAAAGACTTGGATTGGATTATACCATGTTTTCTATAAAAAGTGTATAAAACTTCCAGTTTGATTGTATTGACAAAATATAGAGAAACTAGTGGGGTTTATTGTTTTTATAATACCTCATTGTATATAGCATTAAACAATAAATCCTTATACACTTGAAGTATTAATATTTTTTATTCTCTAGAAATTGCTTAGAATATACCTCACTTAGCAAAACAACGTTTGCCGAGTCAGCTAGTAAATAACATTTGTTGGACTAAATTTGCTCTAGTAATACCTTTTCCTCGCTGAGAGAATCAGGGCTCAAGTTGCACATCTCTATTCTATCAAATCTTGATGAGAAGTCCCTGAAGGACATCCAGAACTCACCATCCATATCAAATGTTAAACCGATTTCTTCTTTTACATGGGGTGGAATAAAACGCCATTCAGGAGACCTGAAATAATAAAAGATTATGAGATTCAACAACTTTCAATCAATGGTCAATTGTCTTTTTCTACTTACTGGTCACTCCAAGCTCCTGTCCATTCAGCTTCATTACCCCAAGGATTTCTCAATCTCAACAAAGGAATTTTTCCTGTAGAATTTGGAGTTTCAATGTCTACAAAATGGACTCTGGTCACTGAGTAAGCGTGACCCTTAATTAGACCTTCTGAAGTCTCTGCTTCTAATACGTTTGGATCAGGCTATAAGAAAAATAGACTATTTTACACAACTTAAGGATACAGATGAGAATTTTTTACTGGAAATAAATAATGATTGAAAATTTTTTAAGTAATGAGCCAAAGTGTAAGCATTCTATGGATAAAATCATTGGCACAACTGAAGAATGTCTTTATAAAAATATTGATTATATCGGTTGACTTATTACCTCAATGCTGCATCCCATCAACGAATTTCTCTCATAGGCCTTTAGCAAAATTTTGAACAAATTTGGAGGAGCTTCGTTCAACTCGTACATTTCAGTGACACCTCCTGTGAAATCTTCCATGGCTTCGCAAGTTGAACCTCCTTTTAGAGCTTCATATGAACCATGCAATCTACAAAAAATAACGATTAGTAATAGAATAGTAAAAATAGGTTTTCAAAAATTTAGGTATTCTTACTTGGCATAAGCTTTTTCGAGCAAGGCACTCCAAAATTCATTTTTCTCAGTAGAGTGCAAGAATACTAGTTCGCCTCTGTAAGTAGGCAGTCTGTCGTCTATGACGACATCGATCCATCGTCCATACTGCCAAAATCTGAAAAACAATATATTTTGAAAAATTCTAGAAAAGAAATTTGCCAGGTTTAAGTGATTCATTTTACTCCAAACCATACGTAAGCTATTCTAGAGATTTTATAAAAAACTGTTGAATGCAACTGAAAAATAACAATAAACCTTATGAAAAAAAAATTAAACTAGTGGGACGCATGGCATCGTGCCTTAAGGCAAATTGCTGGAACCTCCCGTACCGTAATTAAACATTCGAAGAATAAAAATAATCAATAATTGCAATGAGGCGCCAACCAACTCAGCTATAACGACATGCTCACGCACAACGCTATGAGCGGATGTCTAGGATCTAATCGGAATTTCTGCACTTTTTGCTCTGTATCATCGAAATGGCTTGACCTGCCTATACCAAAAACTAATCCGTACGTCTCCACATCAATAGGAATCGAATGTTTTTTGAATCACTCAAATCGGCCGATTTGTACTCTCAGAACTTGCCATTTTTTGCACTTTTTGCACCGTATCTTCGAAACAGCTAGACCCGCCTGCGCCAAAAACTGATCAGCATATCTCCTTATTAATACGAATCGAATGTTTTTTGAATTATTCAAATCGGTTGTTCCGTACCCGCACACACACATCCATTTTTTCTGAGGTATGCCAAAATATTCAGAAACCGTTGAAACGCAAAGATAAATAAAAATGTTCATTTTCGATTTTTTTGCGATTACAAAAACTTACCATACGGGAAGTTAATAACGTCTATTTAAAAATTGTATCCAGGTATCGTAAACTAAACAACAGTGCTCAATACCCAAAAAACTTACGACAAAAAATACTTTCGTTAAAAAATTGACAATGCAAACTTTTTATTTAGTGATCGCGATGTCGGCCGATTAAAGGCGATGACTGATTACACACCTTTTGCCCCTTTCTTTAAAATACCATACATTACAAAGATAATAAAAATAACCTGGATATAATAAAAATTATACCCAAGTATCGTCAACTAAATAACAGTGCTGAACACCCAAAAAGCTACTTTCGTTAAAAAATAGCCCAAGTGACATATAATATTTAGTGATTGCGAAGTCGAGCGATTTAACGCGATGCCCGATTACACATCTTTTGCCCCCTACTTTGAAATAGTATCGTTAAAAATATCATACATTACTAAGATAATGAAAATAACCTGGATATAATAAAAATTATATCCAGGTATCATCAACTAAATATAATTAAAATTATATCCAGCTATCGTCAACTAAATAACAATGCTCAACACTAAAAAAAGTACTTTCGTTAAAAATTGACATGTGACAAATGTGACATATTTAGTGATCGCGATGTCGACAGATTTAAAGTGATGACTGACTGACTACACATCTTTTGCCCCTTACTATAAAATAGCATCGTTAAAAAAGCCATATATTATTAAGATAATAAAAACAATCTGGATATAATAAAAATTATATCCAGGTATCGTAAACTAAATAACAGTGCTCAAGACTCAAAAGACTACTCTCATTAAAAAATTAACAATGTGACATACTTAGTGATCGCGATGTCGACCGATTTAAGGCAATGCCTGATTACAAATATTTTGCGCCTTACTTTAAAATAGCATCGGTGAAAACTACCATACATTGTTAGCGTCTATTAATCACGTGGGGTTTTAAGGGGAGAGGGGAGGGGGTTGACAAAAAATCACGAAAATCTCTTGGGAGAGGAAGGCGTATAGTAGGATATCACGTGCATTGATTTTTTTACTTAATTTTTTTTTAAATCCAAACATTCGCAAAAAAAATAAAATTTTTACAATATTTTGGTAACTAAAATTACACGGAATGTTTGGTAGGGAAGCGGGGTAATTTTGATTATCACCACGTATCAAAGGTCCAAAAATTCTTGAAAAATTGATCACGTGATTAATGGAAGCCCCCTTACTAGTTTTTTAGGATGATGATGATGGCCCTTTTTCCGATGGCATTATCAACTTACCTAAAATGAAATATACCAGCATACTGGTCAGTAAAGCCTTGATCATCAGGTACAATACGGAAGAACAATTTAGAGTCCAAAGTCAAATTGGCAACAGCAGCCAGGAGCCAACAATCTCCCAGTTCTCCTTGTTGGACGTCGAAACGGGAATAACCTTCCACGAATAGTTGAGGATCATCAGTAAACTCCTGGAAAATCAGAACAAGTGTATATCATTTATGATGAATCCAATAATAAATAGAAATCTGGACTTAATCCTTGACAAGAATATGACTTGGTAATAGCACAAATTGTAATGAGTTGTAATATCCGAATTTGAATAGTTGGAAACCAAGAATGGGCCATCCCACAAATCAGGAAATGTAAGATATTTTTTGAAGTAAAACTTCTTTAGGCGCGACATGGGTGTAAAAACTTCATTAGGCGCGACACGGGTGTAAATCCGTACAAATGCAACGAAAACGCCAACGTGAAGTTGAAGACTACACGCTAGTAAGCGCAGCTATCGCAATTATTCGATCTAGTCTGCGAGCAAAACAAAAAATACATCAAATGTCAAATCATATGTCAAAAACAAACAAAAAATGTGTCGACTTTCACTTGAGTTTTGTATTTAGCTCGTAGTCTCTAAACATTTTTTGAAGTAAAACTTCTTTAGGCGCGACATGGGTTAGCAGTATAATTCGTGAGTTAATAAAAATGTCAGGATCGGAAGAATATTTTATCCCGTCCCCCATAAATAATTGTAGTGCAAATGATCGCAGAAATGATAGCTTTGGCTATGTATGTTTTGTGTGTGATCGACTTTGGTTTCAAAGTGACTTAGAAATATCAAATGATGCTCAAAAACAAATTCTTAATAAAGGTTTTTTGAATGTTGATTCAAATAATCAGGTTGGATGTCAAACTTGTCAAAAGGCATTAAATTCGGGTAGAATTCCCACTTCGTGTACATTTAACGGGTTTGTATTTCTACCTATACCAAATTATTTACCTAAACTAGATACTGTATTTGAAAGGTTAATTTCACCTAGGTTGTGTTTCATGCAAATTAGACGATTGAGACATGCAAATGAACAATTTGGAATATTTGGCCAAATTATAAATGTTCCTGTTGACGTTGATAATATGGTTAATTTATTACCTCGTAATATTGATGATGATCATTGCATTAACGTTCACATAAAAAAGAAAATGATTCATAGATCAAGCTATGTGCAGGGCTTGATAAATAAAACAAATATAAAAGTATGGCTTCAATTTTTTAGGCAAGACAGATATTACAGCTGTTATAAGAATTAGATTATATCGTAAGCGAAAAAGTAAAAAAATACAAACAGTAAATGAATGTATGTTAATTTTAATTACATGAAGTTCTTCAAACACAATTATTACAGAATGACTGAAGTTACGAAAACAATATTTGTTTAGGCGTTGTTCAACATAACATAATACACTGTGTGAACGATTATAGAATTTATTAATCAGCAATTACTTTAAACCGATCATGTCATATTTCAAGTATGACCTTTATTACATTATTGTTTGTGAATATTATACATATATTTAATGCAATCATAAATATATAATTTATAATTTATCATTATATAAATGTGTATAATTGTCGACACTAATAAATGTGTGCATCACGAGTGTTACCATATTACTAATAAACATTATTCCAAATTGTTATATGATGTATTTATTTTTACTTAACTTAAATTTGCTACTTTGTACAGTAGCAAATAAGTTTTACTTCAATCGCGTGTGATCCTTACGCGCACTCTTTTTTTTTCATTCAACAATATATTTACAACAGTCCTACATAGACATTAAGTGAATCTTCTGGCAATTATATATAAAAAATGACATCGATATATAAATAGTGAAAAATACACAGTTGCATTTTTCCTTTATAAGAAGTAATGTAATATGACACGAGTAATAAAAAGCTAATTGAATCACTAAATATTTTCCTAGAAAATATAAGATATGGTGGTAAGTTTTTCACTAAATAATGATGCAAAACTGGATGAATAAAATATTTGAATGTCCTGCCGTTAAAGGGCAGCCAAAGATCTGATTTGGCTCTAAAGTTGTTTCTGTTTTTACGAAATCCTAGAGTGGTCTATGAATGAAGTAAAGTTATGTAAAGATAAATAGTAAGTAGTAGATAAATTACTTGAATATAATATAAACACATTTAAACAAAAAGCAAATTTTTGACACGGTTTAATATCATTCAGGTATATTTAGGAAGGTCGACTCTAGTTACCAACTCTTTATTTGTAAGATACTTTTCTCCGATTGAATGAATGGATGAATTTTACAATAAAGCAATAAATTTTTCGATATTTTAGGATTTTTTATTTTTTTATTACCATTGGTCGGAGCCATTGGAAATGCCTATCAGGTCGTTTGGAAAAGTACAGGGACGAATCTTCTGCTGGAAAATCGGGGTCCTCGAATAAAGTTCCACTGTTGAGACATTGTTCACGCAATTTGTAGAAATCTTGGACATCTCTTGCACGGGAACCTGAAGCTTTTTCACCCAACTAGAAAAGAAAAATGATTCTAATGATTATATGGAAAAATTATTTTAAATTGGTAAATGTTATATAACTGAAATTTGGAATTCACCAATGACCTGCTCAGGTAATATTAACTAAATTATAAATAACCCCTGGTTGAGTTTTTAACTGTTGTTGTATGAAAATTGTTCAGATGTTATATAAAATTGTGCATTTATTGTACCTATTATTGCAAAATTAATGTAACAAAATACACTTTCAATAAAATTATGATTTTTATAAATTTTACCATATAAATAACTCTGCCATCATGAGTTTTCTGCACTTTTTCACATCTAATTAAAGGCTTCCAAACTTTAGCCTCAACAATTTCTTCTTTTTCAGGTTCAGTTTCAGAATAATCATACAAAATATTCTTAATATTATCTCTGGATTTATAATTATTGTTATTTATACTTTTAATAATATCACTTCGACCAAAACAAAAATTTAAATTGGGTTTTGGCAAATTTAAAACTTTATCAGATAAAATTTCAATGTTTTTTGGAACTTGTTGACGATTGTGGACTTCTTGAACTTCACAAAACATTTTGATGAAATATAAATTAAGGTTAATAGATATAATTTATTTTAAATAACAAACGGATATGATAATGTAAAGATAACGAATGTGATTCATATATAGTTCTTTGTTAAGATTTTTTTATTAATTATTTTTTTCTTTCACAGAAAACTTCAACACTATTTTTTCAAAAACAATATTGACAATTATTAATATTTTTTTTAACCTTGTGGCAACACAAGAATTTTATGAACTTTAAAATAAACTTTTCACAAAGAATTTAATTTTTCTAAATTAAATTCTATATATAACTAAATATAGATTTTTTATACAAAAGTAAAATTCGTACTGATTTTTATGATGAATACATATTTTTCACAAGTCTGTCATATCACATATCAGCAAAATATAAACCATATCTAAATATTTTTTTTAAATTGCACCACAAAAGCCTTTGATGATAAAAAATCATCATTTTACGACAAATTTTGAAATAACCTTATAGATAACTCTAACAATATATAAGAGCAAATAACAAAGTTAATAAAAACCAATGGATGTAAATACACAAAAAAAATAAAAATTTAATTATTAAAAATCACAAGCAACTTGTATATCAATCATATTTATGAAATTAAATTGTATATTCAATTTTTAAAATGAAAACTTGAATTTGAAATAGTAATAAATTAAAAATGCATGAAAATAATAAATAAAAAATACATTCTATCCTTTTAAATCAATTGTTTTTGATAAATTTGCATTTTCTAGAAAATAAAATAAATATTTATCGCGTTATTTATACATAATTTACTAAAAATATAAGAATTATAAAATATGCATTTGCAATTTTTGGATTTATACAAATAATTATGAGTTGCAAAAAAATAAATTAATAACTAAAATATTAAGTAATGAAATGAGCACATATAACTAACCTCAGACCAAACTGAAAAACAGAAAAATTGAATTTATTTATTTAAATTATTTTATAATTTCTTTCGTGGTTTAAGATATTAATACATTATCAATAATAATGATAATACTAATAGAGAAAAAAGTATTTATCAAAAATAAACTCATCACAAAAGAGGAGTGATGTGGCAACACAAATTGGCAGTAGAAAAACAAAACAAGACATTTTCGAATTTGTAAAACAATTAGAGATTTTAATACAATTTTATATTTTTCTGTTATAATAAAAACATATAATTTTGCAAAACAAGATTTAAAAAAAAGCAATTCCTTAAGAAAACATTTTCAAGTTTGCGGAAATTTGAAGACCTTTTGAAAAAATATTATAACTCTGATTTAATTATTACAAACTAAGAAAAAGTGCTATGTATTTTTTATTAGTAACAAAGATTTTGAATTGTTATTAAATGCTGAAAATTACTTTGTATTACAGATAGGTAATAGATTTCTCAAGAAGTTTCAATATTTAAAAAATAATGTTCTATATAACTATACAAAAAAAAATAAAAATTTTAAGAATATTATATACCATAAATATAATCCTGCCATCATAAGTTTTTATTAATTTCCTACTTTTAGTCCTTAGAGGAATCCAAATAGTTTTATTTGCAGTTGGTTCATTTTTATCACAATCATTATTAGATTTTTTATAATTACTTTCAACATTTTCACTACTGAATTTATTATCAAAATTTTGTTGATTATTAAATATTTTTTGTTGAAATATTTCATTATTACATTTTGATTAAAATGTATTTTTGGATGAACTTTCATTGACCGAAACGTAGGTCTTGAAATATTAAATTGGACACATGGTATGTGAATTTCTTCCATTGAAGAAAAAATATATATATATATATATATAAAATCTTCAAAAACTCACATGAATGTATATATGTTTAGAATTTTTATAATTGACATAAAATAATTTAGATTTTAATATTTATTTAAACAAAGTGAGAATTACTTTAAAAACCAAAGATTAATTTGTAGATTAATTTGTAACTACATATTAAAACCAACAAATTGTTTGGAAAACAATGTTTATTCACGCAATTTTGTATCAAATATTCATTTTAAATTTACATAATTTTTTTAATATGAACAGATGGATTAAAAGTATAAACTATGGAAAAATTATTTTATTTCTTCTATATTATTTCACTTCATAAATGCTACTACCAATAAGCATTAATGTAATGAAAACTTTTTGAAAAAAAATAGGAAAAATTGTTCAATTACATTCATATGCAATGGATAGTAATTGAGTAAATTATAAATAGTAATCACATTAATGCATAGACATGTTTAATTTTATATATGCTATAATTAAATAGTTAGGGAGCTTAAAACCAAAAATGTTTTTTCTGATTGTCCTTTGGTATTAATTTATGTGTAATTAATGCGGTAGCAGAGTATATACTTTATTAATATTAAAAATATAGAAAGGTAAGGTATTAGAAAAAAAATTGGTGTAACTGAAAGGCGCTTTTATACATTGTTTATAATTATAACTTTTATTTTTGATTTTATTATTATTATTTCCATAATTTAATTTACAGAGAAATTTATTGATAAAGAGATGTGCAATTTCTGAAAATAGTTAGATGTAAATAGGCATGCATATAACTAAAAACAAAATAACAAGTATGTTGCAATTTTATTGTACAATTTATGAAAACAACAATCCAAATTGCTATTTATGGACAACAATTATGGTAAATAAATTAAGTCGTTAGTAATGAAACATATTGCTTTAGCAATGAAGACTGTTATTATATCTGTTTATTGAATAGTTTTCATTTATTGTAATTTTAATGCATTCGTGAAAGGTGCTTTAATTTTAATATAATATTTGAACAAGAATTTGGATATAAATTTAATATTAAACTTATTATTTAGCTGAAAATTATGAAATGGTTTTAATTGATGCACGTTGCTCATATGATACAGAATGTGGAACAAAATGTGGTCGTCTGGGTTATACAAATTATAAAGGAGAGTGTGTTCAGGATCCAAAAGATTTTTTGTCACGTCGGTGTAAATGTAATATACACAGATAATTTAAAATTATATATATATATATATATATATATATATAAAAGCCCTAAATTTTCACCCTCCTACCACAAACACTTATATCGTGATAACCATTATTTTGGTAATCCTGCCATTCAATGTTTTTCACCTAATTTGGATTAAGATTTTATTCAACATATTATTATGGATAAACTTAAATTTTACTTCAAAACTTATTTATTAAACTTGTTTTTAATTAATGGTTGAACACCTCTCTCTAACACTATGTGTACCTAACTTTTTTATTGCAACTTTTTACAATGGCAAAAGGAATAGTTACAAGATTCACCTAGATCTACCATACATGGTTTTTTGTTTAATTTAGAACTTAAAAATGATGATGGAGTATATTTATTTTAGTGGATTTCTTGATGAGTTGTGCTATCATGCTCATGCTATATTTATTTCTACAACAATTCCTAAATTGGCACTTTTTCATCTATTATTCAGGTCTTCCAAAGGGTCAAATAACTACAGTAAGATTAAAAAAATGATGCTCATACAAGCATGAATGCCAAAAAATCTGCAAAAATCTTGGTTATTCGACAGAAGGTGTTAAATGCTCTAACATTGACGACTTTACAAGAACTTGTGAATGTAAGATTCCATAAAACATCGAAATACAAATAATAATCATACTATCAAAAAATGTCGAATAAATAATGGATTAATAATAATTTAAAACCGTTAATAATTGGCAACTTTTATCCACAGGTGCATACAAGAAGAAATGATACAAATATTGCAGTAATCTTTTGATGCAATTCTAGCACAAATATTCCTTCTGATAAATAATAATGTAAAATTTGAAAAATAAAGAAAACTTTGCATCAATAGACTTGATTTTCTTAAACACTAAATTAATGCGTTTATTAATGAACTCCTATAATTATTTCGGTAAATATAAATTCAATAGTACTAAGTTATGTATGTAGTCAATTATGGGTTCAGCTCGATTTATAATTCGATAATTGTACATTCGTTTCAGTCACTCTGAATATAAATTTTAACAGGTATTACAATTTCTGTATAACAAAAGTAATTTCAAAGTACATTTATAAACTTGACTAAACCATAATTTGTTATTAAAAATATTGATTGAATTAGCAATTATCAATTTTGCAGAAAATCCTTTGTCGCAAATACACTTTCGCATATACGCTTTCAGATAAACATTGAAAAGATCAGTGTTATAATTTAAAAATGTCCAAATTAATTAAATTTGTAATTATTAGATTTGACGAAACACTCTAAAATTAAATTTCGTAATACATGTTTTGAACGGTGCACAAAAATTTCTTTTATTTATTGCACAATTTCATATTTTTTTAAAAATAACATGTGGTTCAATTTGCATAAAAACTATATTTCGAGAAGTTCTTATTCAACATTTCGTTTTTATTTGATT